CCTCCTTACTGACAAAGACCCAAGTCCAACCCCCCTTTAATGACCGAGACCCTAGGCCAACTACCTCACCCCACTGGTAGAGAGCCCAGGCCAACGTATCCTTCCTGGTAAAATACCCCATTTACTGACAGAGTCCAGGCCAGTAACTCCCTCACTGACAGAGACCCCAGGCAAACCACCTCCCATTGATAGAGATCCCAGGCCAACCCTCCTACTGACAGAGACCCCAGGCTACCCCCGCCCCATATACTGAGATACCTCAGTCCCAGGTCAATAACCCTCCCTACTGAATGATACCCCAGTGTAATATTCTTACTGAATGATACCCCAGTGTAATATTCTTACTGAATGATACCCCAGGCCCTCTATTACCTCACTGACAGCGACCCCAAGCTAAGATCCCTCCCCCCTTACTGACAGAGACCCTAAGCCAGGGAAATATGATGCTTCAACCCAGGGTAAAAAACTAAACCTCTTCATATACTGATTAGATACCCACGTCCCAGGGCAATAACTCTTCCTTACTGAATAACACCCCAGGCCATGGTCTTTTAATAGCTGCAGAGCATGCATTCCTCACCTGTCTTTCCTTTACTGTCAGAACTGCAGGTAACTCATTCATTAACCTCTCATCTGCCAGGGGCATCTATCAGCTGTTAACCCCTTACCTGCCAGGGAACTAGTATAGCTGTTTAATCCATTGCCTGCTTGGAAGCCATGCATAGTATTTGACCCCCATTGCTCCCTGGAAGCTGCAATGAGAATGTAACTGCTCATATGCCAAGGAGGCTTTCAAAGAGACCAACCCATGTTTAAACCTTCATCCACCAGGTAGGCCTTAAAAGTAATCAGGCACCCTCTCATGTCAGGGACCAAGTATGAATATTATACTACTCCACTGCCAGGGGAGCCTACAGAGCACTTAACCCATTTATTGCCAGGGAGTCAAATTGTTCATGTGCTATGAAGTCCAGCATAATATTTAACCCCTTCGGTTAATTATAAATATTGTACAGCCCTTATCTCTTTACTGTCCTGAAGTTGTCAATGAGCTATGCCATATAGCACTTCTCCTTTAGCAGGGAATCTACAGAAACACTTTTTATGTGCTGCCCATTCAACATAAGCAATCTGTGTCTAGTAAAACATGGTGGATATGGTTTCACCCCTCTCCTGGCAGGGAGATCTGCATAATAAATAAATATAGAGTGATTCTTCAACCCTGGTCTATCAAGCAGGCCTGTAGCCCTGTTTACCATTCTCCTACCAGGGGACCTGATTAACCTTTATCTGCCAAGGAACTAGTGAGCATGTTTAGCCCACCAAACTGGCAATTAACACCCCTTCGACTAGAGATCTTGTACAAGTGAAAAACTCTTTAGTAATTAACCCCTTCCTGAGAACACGTTTAAGGGTTTAACCCTTTATGTAGCAGGGAGTTCTGCAGAGTAATTGAACCCTTTTAGGATAATTAACCCAGGTTCTGTAAGGGGTCTGGCAATACTGATTTAACACTCACCTTACAGGGAGACCTGCAGAAAAGCTACACTATCCTCTGCTGGGGAACTAGAATGAGTCTTTAATTCTATATTTGTCAGGAAAGATTGCAGAGTAATTAACCCACTCCTAACTGGCAGGCTTATAGACTGTCTGACATATTCAACTACCAGTATGTTTAGCCACTTTTAAAGAGAGAGCTTTAATCTCCATTTATCAATGAGTTAGTAGAAACATTTAACCCCTGTGCTGCCAGAGGGATATACAGAATGCTTAATTCCTTCATCTGAGAAGCTAATAAGAGTTTCTAGTCTGCCCTGCCTGGGGACTAATAAGAATAGTTAACTAATTTTCTGCAAAATAATGTGAGTAGTTAACCCTTCTGCTGCCAGAGAGTCATGCAGTGTCATGAACCTGTTTGCAGCCCGTGAGACAGCCGCAGAGCTCTGCCTCCTATGGTTGTGACTGCTGCTGTCTCTCCTCCCCTCAGACACACGCCTCCCATTCATTGTCAGCTCTCTGTAGGTAACTGTCTTTTTAAGAGGCTGGAGAGGGGGGAGGGGGAACTGTCTGTGAGCTGAGCCCAGCCCAGAGAGACAGCTGGGGAGAAAGAGACAGCTGGGGGAGCCGGAGAGAGAGAGGAGACATCCAAGGGAAGATAGAAGCTAGACCTAGAGAGGAAGAGAGAGATGGGCAGAAAGAGACATTCAGGAAAAAAGAGAAATTCCTAGATATAGAGATGCAAGCTCCTTGATACAAAAAGGAAACAGGGACCTCTAGGAATACAGGGAGGGAGAAAAATAGATCCAAGGATAAAACACGAGACATTCGTTGGATGAAAGAGTTGAGAGGGACACTGATTAAAAAGAGTGGTAGGTAGACATCTCTGTTCTCTGTGACCGCATCCTGCTGAGAAAGACAGACTGGGCTTGGAAACCTCCCAAATTCTGACTGTCAGTCATCTTGGGATAGAGTGCAGAGGAATGCTATTAGAGTGCTGGGGTCTAGGTTAGATTTCCAGTGTGGGATCCGGCAGGAGATTGCGCAGGGGCTGTCGGATTGAGAGAGCATGATGGTGGTTTGAGGGGGTCTTCCACACCCCCCAGTGGGTTGGAACAGTCTCTGCTGGCCTGAAGATGTCTCGTGTTTCCGCTGGCAACGAACGGATAAATGATACGGTGAGTGGTCTTGCCCTGGGTAATTTGTCACTTCTTGGTGAAATGGTGATTTTCATTTGTACCATATTTAAGTTCTATCTTATTTGGTTTGTGAATGGGTGTTCTGCCAACGTTGACTTTGGCCATGGACCATCTCATGTGCGTTGGTCGGTCAGTGGGTGTTTGAGTCTTTGCCCACCTTGTGAACGAGAGGCGCCTTGGCCACCTTGTGAATGAGAGGTTCATATTTAAAGGAGTGTTTGTCATGGCTGCCATTGGTGACAGGTTGGGTTTGCACCACGTTGGTGATGGTTCGTAGGATGTGTGCCCACCATGAAGAGTAATGCCATCTCCATTGGTTTTTTTTGGGGAAGGTATATGTTGTTGTTGCTTCCTGTTCTTTGTGAATTACTACGCATATCGACACAGACGCTTTGTGGTTTTACCATTTATAGATGAAATGAGTAATAGGTGCCAGTGTGTCATAATTGCCACGGCAATCATACGGTAGTCAAATGCTCTAATCGACAAAACATACTCCTGTAGGTAATTTCTTTGGTAGAGTATGGTTATAATTTACGCTTTTGTTTATTATAGAATATGCTATTTAGGCAACAATTTATTTCCTAATACAAGCAGTTTTTTTTATTTGCTTTCTGCCATTTAAAATAATGCAATTTGTTTTTTTTAATTTAAAAGGTTTCATAAATTAGACTATTAATCTGTATAACGTCATCCAAGAAAGCATTAAAATTAAATTTCATACATGGTGGCAATGTATCATCTACCGTGATGGGATCATAATCAAAGAATTCACAACAAATACTTCAAATAGGTAGTGAGTTCGCATTGGCTAGTAAGTTGTCCAGTTCCATTTACTAAAGTGCAGTTTAAGACACATTGAGATTAGAGGAGGATAAGACTGTGTAGGATTCCTGCAAAGACAAAACTCTATGAATGAAATATTGGCGTTGGCGTTTATGTATAGTGTATCAAAAAAGAAACGTTCAATTTGTGCCTTGTGGTTTATATTTTCATGTAATAAAGAGCGATAATTACATTATTTCTGTCCGCCATGTTCAGTCTGGTTCTACCCGCTCTGAGAAAAGCTCTGCCACCTCCTCATGGCCTCCTCGCCCTCCAGGAGCTCGGTCAAGAAGTTCCGCCCCTGAGGAGCCACATGTTGGAAATTACAGACTCCTTAGGACTATTGGAAAAGGAAACTTTGCTAAAGTCAAATTGGGAAGACATGTTCTCACTGGAAGAGAGGTAAGAATATGTTGAATGTAAAGGATGGTCAACTATAATTTGAAATTATGTAAAATAAACCAAATGAGGGAGGGAAATTGGCAGGTACTGAGAAAAATGGGATATTTTATGTATGATGATAATAAGTAGAATGTGTAAGGAGAATTGGCGCCAAATCTGTTTTATGTGATATTTCTACAGTATCACTTGGTGTTGTTTGGGTTGGTGGGGTGGGGGGACAACAGGGTGTTATGTACCCGATAACTTCTAAATCCTAAGTGTTTTATCCAAATCTGCAAAATACTATATAAATGTCACTTTTCTACATCTTTAGGTCGCTATAAAAATCATTGACAAAACCCAGCTAAATCCAAGTAGCCTTCAAAAGGTGAGTACAATAATCTGCATGTATATTCTAATGGTTATATGTTCTACTCCTTTATAAATATTTTTTATTTATATATTGGCTGGATCCATGTGTCCACAGCAAGTTGTATAAGTTTATTGGGGCCCACACTTGCATGGTACAATATTTTGTGAGACGATGTGAACTGGCACAAAACCTTGCTATTTATTGGCGCTGTTCCTTAAATTCCTTTTCATGAATTGGTTTAAAATGAGTCTGTACTGCTTAACATTACATTAAACTACCAAACCCATAGTAAATTTGGCTGTAATTACCACTTGAAGATCTGTCAGTGTTTCAGTATGGAGGAGGCCATTTTGGCATTGCATCACATTTTTCAAACCTTTAGTGACAAATGTTGAGTAAAAAAAACAAGGTTGTAGAAAGCATGAGATATCAGCTGCCAGTAATCTGGGATTTGCAATTGGAACCCTCAGATTTCTGTGCATATTTAAATTTCTTAGAGAACTTTTCAATCAGTTTAGTTCTCTTTGCAATATGTTGAAATCATTTATACTATTTTATCTTATAAACACTTTTTAGAGAGTCACTCAAGGGTATGCAGCTATGCAAAGATTCTTTGATTTATTGACGGTCTTTATTTATCTAGATTCTAGAGCTTTTGATTTGGTGTCATGGTTGAAATAGGATTTCTGTGCAAGAAATCAGGCATCTAGAACAATTCTTCTGGATTTTGGTGGCATGGTACATTGGCTGTAGTCCAGGAGAGATTTACTGGATGGGCACTTTTAAGATTCTATTTTTTAATTGACGTGCCGTTTCGGGATCTCGTTATTTCACATACAGTTAATTGATTCCATTTCCTGTTTTGGACACTAAGCCTTCATTGATCAATTACAAGTTAATGAAAGATATGTTCAAAATCTTTCAGGACCAGGCCTAGCCTGTCATTTATAAAGTGTTGTGCGAATAAGGAGATAGCACATTTCACTGTAATCTCCATTCACTCAATGACTTTCAAGAACTGCTCTTGCAGTATACATTAAGGGGTTTATTTTCAAAAGTGAGAATTGTGTTATTCACAATGGAATTGCAAATTTGTGCCCAAAATAACACAGCCAAACAAATTGTCAGTTTTTTACAATCTCCAGTTTAGTGAATAGACCATTTTAGTATTTAATGTCTAATTTTAAGACCATTATTCACATTTCAGTACTGCTGGGGCAAATAAACAAAACAAAAACTAAATATAAAAATGACTCCAGGGAATTGCTTTATACTTCAGATTTTTACTTTACTTTAAAATTAAAACGGTTTCCTAAATTTAGCCTGTCCTGCAGGTTTCTGGAACTAAAAAAAAGAAAACTACCTGCTTCTTCCGTCTTCTGTACAACAGGAAATAGACAGGATATTGTGTCATATAGATGTATAGTTTTCTGAGGCACAATGAGGCCTGCTTCAGCAAACAATGTATAAAACCTTTGTTCTGAATATTTTTAAATATGCTGTGCAATGTCAATAATTCTGCATTTGTTTTGAACATATCAATACATCATTCTTAAACCTTTGCGATCCCATGTCGGAATATATCCGACAAAATATATTACCTCTTGCGGTCCAATGTCGGATTTTCCGTGGAGAGTACTGCCGACGTGCACATTCGTGGCACCCGGCATGGGGGATCGGTGGTACTCTCCAGGGAAAATCTGACATTGGACCACAAGAGGTAAAATATTTTGTCGGATATATTCCAACATAGGATCGCAAAGGGTTAAATGACATTTTGTAGTTGACAAAATCCAGGAACCTCAAAATTAACCCGCTATCCACAAAAATATAGTTCACATTCAGGTAGGGATATCTATCCTTACATTGGTTCGGTATACCAATCTATACATTGTCCTGAAGAAATTGCCAACACATGTATACATTACGTTTATCTGAGTATGTCTTCCTGGTCACCCAAAATGGCATACCATAATAGATGGAGCACAGCCACCCCAAATGACGTCCTATAATTCATACACCCTGGCATTTGTGGGAATGCCATCACGTTTTCTTGGATCTGCTTCAAGCCTCCAAATGAGTCATTTTCACTGCTATGCCAATATCATAGCAGTAAATCCAAAGAAGGTCAAATCAATAGATAGTTTAAAAAAATGTCATATGTATACACATTTGCCAGTTGTTTGGGTAGTGACAGGTACACTTTAATGTTAGCAAAACATCATAGGAAGTTGCATACCTCCCAAGTATCCATATTAAGGAGGGACATTCTATACTTTTGGCCCAAACCCATCTGTTCCTCTTTTCTACCCTAATGTCACTCTTTTGTAAGAGTTCAGTATTTTTTTGAGTGTATAACAGAGCTCCACAGCAATAATACTTACAGTAACGTTTCTTTAAACTACAACAAACGTGTTAAGAGACTACTGTGTAAATACAATACATTGCTCTTGATTTTAGTTGCATTTATTGTTATTAGTAAACCTTTTCTGAGAACAGCTCTGCCCCGGCCACTACCACACTTACATCCCTAAATTTAGAGTGTTCCTCTTTGTGCGTTTGAAATGTTGGAAGGTATGAAGTTGTGGTTCACAGCCAGCTAGGGGCATACCATTTTCCCACCTTGAAGTAAAGGTTGGTAATTATCTTAATTAGGTATAGGGGTAGAGCTACCTGATTGGTACAGATTGTGAAGGTTATAGCACGTGTAGGGACATTTTCATACCAGGAAACAGAGATATCTGCTGGCATAGCTCTGCATTGCACTACTTCTTATGGCTGTTCAGGCCCTATGGACACAGCAAATGGTTTTATGTCTGACACCAGGTGTATCTGCCATGAAACATTATATTACATTCATCTGCCTGATAGTAAATGAAGATTCAGCACTGTATTAGGTATCATGGAAGTCTCAAATGTCTCTTTGTCCAGTATTTACAAAAATAAGGATTTGTTTTTATTCCTAGTGAAAAAAAATGTTGCAGTAATAATCATTCAAAGGTACTTGACAAATGTTACCCAGAGTCTCCTAGTTTAGATAATAATTACGGAAAGTATGAATGAGACCGCTTTTGATTCTGAGCAAGGAGGAGTGGCGTGTAGCGCCAACCACTACACTATTGGCTGTGCCCCCCAAAAATAGCAAATTATGCCTTATATGGTTGATGGGAAGCTTTTTTTTCACAGCCATTTGCCTCCATTTTCAGGTAGGTTGCCAGTTTCTGTTGTCAGAGCTGCACCCTTTTGAATAGGACTGCCACATTTGCCCCTGATAACCCTTAGATTGGTAAACCTGATAATTTGGTTCAGATCAGGTGTATCTATGCTACAGAATTGAAGAGCGTTTTTCTTTGTGGTTAGCTTGACGCTGATCTAAAGCTGTATCATAATTTAATATATAATAATTATATATATTTAGACTTTTCTATGATGTAACATTAATTCAGTGTGAGCTATTTGTGGACATTTTATGCTATGTAATTGTGTCTGTAATTCCACATCTGAAGATATTGTTGAGTTTTGGGTATACCTGTTCTTCCTGCTGCGCTGTGGTCCTCCATTAAGCCTTGAAGAGGATCATTTTAATGTTTTCTGTTCGAAAAAGTGGTCTATAGTACTAAAAGTGGGGAAATCACCGTGGACACCAGTGGAACCAATTTTCCATTGGTGACTCATCCCCTTTAACATTTTCCATCACTTTTTAGAATTGAAGACTTTGATAAATAACCATCTGTCTGCTTCTCTAAACATCTAGATAACCAATCGGACTGCAAATGACATAGATATGTAATCTGGCTATGGTTTTTTTTCTGAAGTCTTGGTGAGTTTATTGGATAGTGGTTAAACAAATCTTTAGGTTCAGTTGTCAGTGTTCTGATGGACTTCTGGAAATGGGTGACTATAAAGAAATCCTTATAATTGCCAATATGGATACCGCACTCTCCTGAATCCCAGGGTGCAACCGGGGCCTGAGGTTGGCCAATCCTCACAATGTGATTTGCAAAAAAGTAATGCTGGTCCAGGCACTCAAGTTCAATCCAGTGGGCAGATTTATTGAAGCAAAATAGAAACAACGTTTCGGCCCACAACAGGCCCCTTGTTGTGGGCCGAAACATTGTTTCTATTTTGCTCCAATAAATCTGCTCACTGGATTGAACTTGAGTGCCTGGATCAGCATTACTTTTTATAAAGAAATCCTTGTCAGTTACTAAGGACAGTGCTTGGGAATGTATATATTTGTGTATCTATGCTACCATGTGCCGTGCCTTATTGTAATGTATATAATGCTAGAAGTATGTGGTTTATAAAGTGAAAGCAGTGCCTATACCGAAATGTTTCTGCTTTGAAATCTACATAATACTAGTATTCTAAAATGGTGCCTAATGTGGGATTTTTGACACGTGCCAGTAGATGTATAAACAGTCATGATTGAGTGAACAGTTTTCTTAGGTAGGGCTGCAAAAATCTTGTGTTCGATGTAGACTTTAAAGGTACACTATAGTCACCAGAACTACTACAGCTTATTGAATTTGTTCTGGTGAGTAGACTCATTACCTTCGGTCTTTTGCTGTAAACACTGTCTTTTCAGAGAAAATGCAGTGTTTACATTACAGCCTAGTGATAACTTCACTGGCCACTCCTCATATGGATGTTAGAGATCCTTCCTGGGTCATGGCTGCCTAAAATGCATCCAAACATTCAGTGTCTCCTCCCTCTGCATGCAGACACTGAACTTTCCTCATAGCGATACATTGATTCAATTCATCTCTATGAGGAGATGCTGATTGGCCAGGGCTGTGTTTGAATCATGCTTTCTCTGCCCCTGATCTGCCTCCTTGTCAGTCTCAGCAAATCCTATAGAGAAGCACTGTGATTGGATCAGGCTAACACTTCTGATGATGTCAGCTGACTGCTTGTTTTTCTGAGGCAAACAGCATACAGAGCTACAGCTTCAGGCTTGAATACAGTAAGATTTTGCTATATTTATGGAGGCATGAGGGGCCCAGGGGGGCTAGATGGTGGTTTTAACACTATAGGGTCAGGAATACATGTTTGTGTTCCTGACCCTATAGGGATCCTTTAAGGTGTGTTTGTAATGCCAAGAGTATTGACTGTTCCTTTAATAAATGGTGCAGTTGTGTTGAAAGAAAAGATAATCATAATATAATGCAAGTTCTCTGATGGAAATGCCCATTATATCACGGATGGTCTCTGTATTTATATGGTGTTACGTGTACTAATATTTCCATACAGTTCATGTACTTAAAGGAGAAAAAAAATATCAGGTGCGGGATTTAGTGGGCAGTCAGGAGAATTAATTATTGGTAAGGGTTTGTTATTGCCAAGAATCCCATGATCTGTACTTCTATTATATGTGCAATCACTAGGCAACAGCATGTTGTGTTTTTTATCTGATAGATATCACTCCTTCCTGATCCTAGTATCCAAAATAATTAACAAACCAGAAAGGGTATATTTAGATTGGATTCATTTATTTGGCGGGCAGAAATCACAAGCCCATCTTTGGAGACCCCTGATCCAGAGTTATGCCATGTGATATGTTTTATGGACACATTTATGTAGAACAGGGGTAGGCAACCCTGGGCACTCCAGGTGTCCTGGACCACATTTCCTTTTATGCTTTGCCAGCAATATGGTTGTAAGAGCATTATGGGAGAAGTAGTCCACAACATCTGGAGTGCTAGAGGTAGCCCACATCTGATGTAGAAAATTGTGTTCTAGCCATAAAAATGAACCAATGAACATACCTGTGGATTTTCAAAAGAAACTCTGATTCTGTTGGTATAAGCCCAGGTGTTACATTTTGATGTGGTCTGAAAGGCTTACTACTTATGTTCATCTGGATATTTTGCTTTGCGATTTTTGCAGAGTAACATGTTGACTGTCAGGCTTCACTGTTACGGGAAGAAGCACACAGTGTTAATAATAAGATTTGTCATGAAATCTGAAATTAGAGTTGCAGACTGTACCCATGAAACTTCCCAAATATGACATTTTGCAACAAGGACAATAATATTTCATAAACAGAATATAAGCTGTAAGATGAGCTACAAATCACAAAGTAAAAATTCCAGTGTAACTCCCTTGGACCTTGCAGGACATGGTGCTGTGCTATGATCTTCTGAAATGATTTTGGAAAGGGACAGAAAGAGCAAGCGAGGCGGATATAGGTGAAAATTGTGCTTGGTTATTCCTTTTTTTTAAAAATAACTAAATGTTAGTGCAGTACCCAGGCGATCCATGGTAAATTAATTAGCCTAGTGAGGGGAGGGGTAAGCATTAGATGCCCGGGGTAGTGACATGACAGGCTGGAACAGAAAGATCAATAAAAAGCACCAGGCCTTGTCGTGTTTTGAGTTCAGAGAAGGTACATGTAGTGAAGGCTTGTGCTATATTTTCTAGAATGATGTTATCTATTTTGCAGAACCATGCTACAGTGCTTTTTATCTTTTTACATTACAAGATGTATCTGGCATAAGGAATTCAGATTCACTGGACTGCAGTGAGCATCAAGAGTAAGCTCTTGAGTATAACAGCAGAACTAAGCTCTGATATGTAGAACCAATATTATACTTCACATCTAGACTAGAGATGTGCACAAGTTGGCCCGAGGTCCAAGGTTAAATTTGGTTATCTGATGATCACCAGGTCTGTCCATTCTGCAGTGCTACACATGGGCATCCCTGATGGCTGGTTAGGAGGACTGACTGACAACCCATCATGACCATTCCTATTCCCAGTGGCACTCATTTTGTCAATGGTGTACTCCAACTTGACCGTGCCTACTCTTCTGAGATATGCAGTGAAGAGCGTAGAAGGGCCCATCAGAACTGTTCTTTTAATCTATATTTTCGTATCTTCCAATATCGAGAGGTCTGTAAGTGGGACAAGGTGAAGGCAGTATGGGTTGTGTTAGTGGTGCCATTCATGTCACCGATCACCTGGCAGACCTCATGAAAAGAAGGCCTGTCAGCTTGGTGTGCTTGTATGCCAACCAACAGTTATGCATGTCAGGCCACTCAAGGTAGACCATGAGCACATATCTTCTAAAGCACTTTTTTTATAGATAGAAATTTGGTCCTGAATTTGCGGGGTGCCCAAGGACAAACCCGAGATGTTCAGTGAGAAACTGCCCCACTGAGTCCGGGCAGTTGGGTCTGTGTTTAAATGTGAAATATTGAATACAGAGAGCACAGTTTAGTAGAGAACCTTAGTACGGTGTTCATATATATATTAAACCAGTAACATTTTAATCACATGAATATATGCTCATCCGTGATACCTTTGTTTATGATACAACTTTCACAAGCATGTAGACAAGTGATCTGTGCCTTGGTTTTTACAAAGCTCCTCTCTCCCGTTGCTTAACCCTTGTTAACTTGCCCTTTTTGGGCACCATGTTTGCCAATTCCCTACAAGTCAGGAAACCACGGTGTGACCACTTATTAAAACAGACAACATAATATCACATGAATATATGCTCATCCGTGATACCTTTGTTTATGATACAACTTTCACAAGCATGTAGACAAGTGATCTGTGCCTTGGTTTTTACAAAGCTCCTCTCTCCCGTTGCTTAACCCTTGTTAACTTGCCCTTTTTGGGCACCATGTTTGCCAATTCCCTACAAGTCAGGAAACCAATTTCTACAGGTGACCACTTAGACGACAACTATACTATTGGTTATGTCAGCAGTCTAGTGATGTATTAAAATAAATAAAAATAAATAAAATTCTGGAAAACTCACCTGCAAGTGGGGAACTGTAGGAATTTTCTGCCCATTTGATATAATGACATAATTTGATATATTTAATTTGTGTTGAAATGTAAGGTTATATGTCAGTTCTAATGAACTGGGTGTGTCAGACCACAGATGGCAAGCTTATAAATAATTAATGTGTTTTTTGTTTTAATATTCAAGGCTGCTTGTAATGCATTCATTAAATAAATGCTCCAGGCTGCAGTATACCCCTATCACTGCTACTTTTTATTGCATTATGTATTTAATGCACAAAAAAAAGAAAAAAGGCAAAATTAGATCTCCCAACAACTGAACATTCCAAATTTGGAACTTGTGTTTCAGGTTTGTTCCTTGTTGTCCTGCTGCAGAGTTTACATGTCCTCCGTTAGAACAGTGAATGCCCACCACTAAATTTACTCATGCTGTTTACAGATACCTGGGTTAATTAGCCCATACAAGTATTTTAATAGCGCTTTGCCCCTGGGTATTCCTAAGTTTAACCTGGCATGTATGCATGCCCATCAACTTGCTCGCTTGTTTGGGTGGGACTGGAACTTTTCCAGGATGCTATGCCCATAGCGGCCTGGGGGGATGCAGGGGGCATCTTTAACTTACTGTGCTATTACTACAGGGCTACAGCAGTGTCCCAGCTCTGTGAATTCACTTTCATGGCGTATTTGCAAAACTGGTGATGCTGTGGGCTGCAACTCCCATTAAATTCTGACTGGGACTGAATGGAGTTATTCAGTAGCCTTACTGATACTCAGAAAATCTAAATGTTTGCCATTATGAACACCTCTGTAACGACACTGAATTCTTTAATTCGACTTCTACAGTGTTGCTCAACATTTTGTAACTCGCCATTTTAACAGCGAGTTTTTTTAAATTTATTTTTTTATAGAAATCAATCTATGTATATTTTATTTATATAGAACTAATAGGTGTGCTTGTCACTATACAGATTACATTACAGTACAGTATTGTGTATATTTTATTTAGACAGCACTAATAGGCGTACTTTGTAAGTTAGGTTTGTATTACAACAGAGGGAGCTTCAGTAAGTTATAGAGTGGGATGGGCAGAGTCAGAAGTGCACACAGTTGTCTAGACACCAATGCATGCACGTATTTATAAAGGAACACTCCACATACCTAAAGCATTCCGCTTGCTGTAGTGTTTTATGTGTGATGAGTATGCCCTCTGGATTTTCATTTTACAAAAAGTTTAGATTTTAATTTAGATTGATAGTTTTATATTGTTACCTTTTTAATTACCCTGGCTGTCAATCAGACAACCGGTCATGTAACTCTCTGGTAGTTTAGCTCAGTGAAGCTAAACTCAAGACAAGAGGCAGGCAATACTGCGTATTACATGCAATGCATGTTTTTATTTTGTTTTTAAATTTGTGCAGTGGAGTGTCCATTTAATTTTCTCTGGCATGTACACAAAGAACACCAATGAAATAATTCATGGAGTTGGGACCTACATTGGGACTATACACTATACACTTGGGAAGTATAGTAATGGCTCTTTGTTCTTTAGTCTAGTCTAGCATTCCTATTGCCAAGTCTACATATGTATGTTTATAGTAGTTTGCATTCTTTTCATTCAAATTAAATAAGAAACAGATCATTGTGGTGAATTGAAAACCAAACGGTAAAATGTAGCTCCGAGTAGATCATTTGTGATTGTAGCTGAATTGGGGAATTCTTTGGGCCTACGTTTCCGACTCTTACATAGATGGACAGTTGTCTTTTTACATTGAAGAAAAATCCCTGATTGCTGCTAAGTACCAGTTGTCCCCACTATGAAACCTCGGACTGATTTTATTTATTTGCTTTTTGTGATAGCCTTAGGCACGTCCCAATCATTCCTGAATTTTTAAAATCAATGGAAGGCAATTTTGAATTTTTGCTATCCTTTCCAGGAAGTAATATTTTCTCACATTACCTCTTGGTTGTATACTCTCTAAATTCCATCTATTTTTATTGAAAATACTCCCATAGTCAGCTTTATTTTATCCCTTAATACCTTTTCTCTAGTACCTACAGAAATAAAAACAAATGCCTTTTTGATCTCTTCACTGATTGGTAAATATCAGTGGTTTCACTAGTAAGACAATGCACATTTGAATGGACACAGTAGTTCGATAATTGATACTGTATTTGTTCTAAATTCTAATAGTGGAGCTATGGGATTTGAAGGGACATACCAATGGTTTGTATTGAGTTTAATCCACCTTTTGGAACTTTACCTTTCCTTCCTTCTTGTGACACTTACATAGAAACATAGAATGTGACGGCAGATAAGAACCATTCGGCCCATCTAGTCTGCCCAATTTTCTAAATACTTTCATTAGTCCCTAGTCTTATCTTATAGTTAGGATAGCCTTATGCCTATCCCACGCATGCTTACGTTTTCCAGTGCATGTGTATGAAGTTGGACTCGCTGACTGACTAGATGTCCTAGGGCACAGTATTCTAAATGAAGGCTCACATATTGACATATGTATTTATAATGCTGCTAATCAGAACAGTGTTTTGTAGTGTATTTGATAGTGTATTGGTTTGAGAGAGGTGTGAAATCCTGTGGTTTTTAGATGACAAACTGTCAACAAGTATAGCACCCTGATCATTGTAATCTTATTTATTCTAAAATGAACATTTACCATGCTTGCATCTCCACAAGAGTGCAGACATTCAAGATGTCCTTATCTGAGCTCCTCCCCATCCTCTCATTAGCACAGTACAAGTGAGGATCCCTTAATGCAGACCTGGAAATATCACATAATCTAGTAATTGCATCTGCAGATTTTACTGGTGGAGCCAGGGTTCATACTGCCCAATGGAACTCCTATCAACGTACGCTCCCCAAAGTTACGTTTTGTCAACCGGTAATTTGTGTGTGTGAATGCCAAGAAAGCAATCAAAATTGTGTTTCCTTTATTGTAACCATGATGTTCTCTCAACTTTTGATCTCTATCACCAGGTATCTTTTGGGGGTGGGGGGGAGATCCAATTATTTATTTATTTTTTGGAGTAATTTTGGATATATGTTTTTTTAGTAACTGGAAAGGAATAAATTGATTTTGAGTACCACATAATTTTTTATTCCAAAATCAGATTAGCTGCTAAAAGCATTTCCTCAAACCTTTATTCTGACGACATTGACATTCCAAAAATCCCTACCAGCCATTTTGTTCATTACTAGCATTGATCCATCCTCAAAGAACCGATCATATGAGGACAGAGAGTAACCACAATAAATAAGCAGCGAATTAAATATGTTTAAGGATAGTCATCTAGTGCTTTTCAGAATTAAATGTAGTTTGAATGATTATACAAACAGTGGCATTTAAGCTAAAAACAGAATACCTTTAGCATTAGTTTCTTCTGTTACCATGGATTCTTGGCAGGAATTGGCAGCAAGTCTTACAGAGTGACTGCTCCAGGAAAAGAATCATATTGTTATAATTATGCTGCTATCCGTCTTTTATACGTAGTTTTCTTTGTGATCCCCCATGAATCTAAGGAATAGCTCCTCCCACGATCAATAGCATTTTTTCTCCTTAATGTTCCTCATCAGTGTCATTAATGGATGAGCTATTTGTGTTTCTACCAGCTGTGCTCGTAGGTCAATTAAAGGAGCACAGAGTAAGGTTGGAATTCTTCATTAGAATATTGTAATCCTAACCCATCCCGTACATTCTGTTCATGGCAGCTTGTTTATAAAGAGATATGCTAGTAAAAGCAGAATGGATACAGTTTGGGGTAGGCCACGTTCCTTGTTACTGTCAATACACTAAATTAAGTAATCTTTTTATAGCCTGCATCAGCCAGCACGATTTCACATTAGCTCGAAACACATTAGAATGATAAGGTTTTAGATCATCAGATCAGGTGTGTTAGGTAGCGGCAGAAATCTAGAAAAGGGCATATTTTAGAACAGAGAATAAAAGATTTTAGAATAAATGTTGAATCTGGTCTCCGAGATGTCCCAAAGATTTTTTTGAGTTTTTTTATAAGTCATTTGTAACATAAAGTAGACCGTTTCAAGAAACATCAGGAAAAATACGTAATCGTCCCGATATATATTAATTGGCATAATATGAACATGGAATGAGTGTCACAAGATTAAAGGTAGCAAAGCCAAAATCCAATAATACTGGGCTGTAGATCTCGTCACAAAGAGTCATAGAACATCACTTGGGCTCTCGATATGGCATTGAGCTAAATCAATGTATTTCAAGATATTTCTGTATATTTTTAGTTTTTCATGTTAAGCATAAATGATGTCCCAGAGTTTGAGCATTGATGAAATCTGAATGAATGTTAGCACATTGCTGAAGCCATATTAGCCAGAGAAAAATGAGGTAGGGGACAGGGAGATCCTTGCATCAAGGAGCCTACGACATTTGTGGACTCAGTGTCCCTTTTAAAACATGTTATATGTGAGATGACCGGACTTGAGAAAGCATTCCCTGGAGGTACCAGGTCTCTGCCTGGGCTATGAATGCTATAACACTAGCCACAATGGATGCAAAAGGCATTAAAATAGCAGCTCCTGCTGAGAATCACCCCCGCTTTATTTTATATTTTGTGGCAGATGTATGGGATGTGTGTGAGTATGTTTTTGTTGTTTTGTGAGAATGAGGAAAATATCTTTTAATTTGTTTTTCCTTTTTGCATTTTATCAAGCAAACCCTTCTTAAATTCTATTTCTGGCTTTCAATTGATTTTAGCTTTTTATTTTGGGAATATGAAGGCATCATTTTTGGCAATGCTTATCCTACTTGTCATTTTCAGTGTTTCCCTTATGACTTCTTAGTAGGGAGACTACTAACTAAACGCAAACCCTATTTTTTTACATGCATTATATTGCTAAATTTATGTAGAAAAATAAAAAAAGGTTCCTAGGTTGTTCAGTGTTCTCTGGTCAGACCAGGAAGTAGACCAGTCATTTGGAGGCTCTCAATCTTCTTAGTGAAACTGACCTTATCCCTAAAACCCAACCCAGTAGAATGAATAGAACGGCTGCTTTATCTGATAGTAACAGCACCGAGGTTGCTATCGGCTTTACTTCTGGCTCCATTTATAGTAATGTGTTTACTCCATACAAATACCTTCTGGCAGAAAATAATATAGGTTCTTCCCTGATTTCAGACACTGAGTTGTCAGATTTATAACCACAATGATTTTACTAGCTGTGATGTTACAAACAGCTGTGTCTGTAAAAAGCATAAGCTGTTATGGTGCTTGGAGTGTCGCTTTAAGTAAATACCTTTAGACAAATATTGACCTAAATCAAAGAATGGTTCTGTGAAGTAGATAAAAGTTTCATGAAAACAGTATACTTCGGTAGCTCATAGTAATGATTATGTCCATCAATGGCCTATTAACTCTTTTATATTGGTTTCTTTTTTCAACTCCTATTACTTCCTACCGTAGATGGAGGATGAAACTAATCCAGCCGTGTAATATTATTTTACATGTTACTGCTTTTAAAATAGTGGCGAGCCATGTACCTGTTGAACAAAAGGTGTTGTATACTCCAGATTTGATGCAGAGGAATGTGTATATAGACAACCATAGGATGTTGGCATGTGGGTTCAAGCATTTAAATTGCCAGGATAATGGTGCAATAGGTACTCAAAGATTTCTATTTTGACTTGAAGGCCTATTAATTTCCTTTTGATCACTACATTTCTCCACATTCTGGCATTAATTTCCTTTTGATCACTACATTTCTCCACATTCTGGCATGGCCGACAGGAACATTTAGCTAAAACAAGGTCCTTCCATTGGGGTGCAAGATGTCACTATATAGAATCTTGAACACATGTTTGTGGAATACTGGTTGAAATAAGGTATCTAGAGCTCAGGCTTGTAACATATTAGATTGAAAAAATGTCTTATTCAAATTTATTGAATTAAAAGATGTATCTAGATTTGTGATGTGTTTGTTGATAATAGCAGGCCTATTCACTAAAGTGAGAAGAGTTGGAAATTCAAAGTGCTTTTTAAATTTATGGGCAGGTTTCCCAAACTGAAAAGACAAATGGTCATTTTTCTAATTCGGCTATTTTGGACTAAATTTTGAAATTCACTTTGAATCCTTGGACGCTCTCGCTTTAATGAACAACCCTGTAGATCTCTAATGCTGGATCTTGAGACTTGGAAAGTCTTAGCAAGTCTTCCTTTTGACATCCATTGATGGAAGATGCTCTGAGTTTCGTCTTGTTATTTAGGAGCAGAAGTATTGACGAATATATGGGACACAATGCGTGTTTATGATTTAATACACTCTTTGTGTGGACTGCTGTGTAATGTTTCAATGTCTTTGTTTTTTCACAGCTCTTCCGTGAAGTACGAATTATGAAAGGACTTAACCACCCAAACATTGGTGAGAACGTGAGCCTTGTCACATTTATTACTGTCTTGCCAATTCTTTTTCCCATTCCACCGTTCAGTACCTCAGGCTCCCTTTCTCTATTTTCACCATCTCCTTTTCTCTCACAGTGAAGCTGTTTGAAGTCATCGAGACAGAGAAGACACTATACCTAATCATGGAATATGCCAGCGGAGGTACACTTGGCCATGTGCTTGTTTTACCTTGCTCTCTTTATGATCTTATGTTCTCTCCATTGTTGTACCTGACTATATCTTTTTGTTTCCACTGTGCCCCACCCCCAATTCTAACCCTGAACATTTATACTTTCCATTATTCTCATCTCCTCTGTTTCTCACCCACATTACTTCCCTCTCCTTTCTCTTTGTCTCTCTCAGGCGAGGTATTTGATTACTTAGTGTCTCATGGTCGTATGAAAGAGAAAGAAGCTCGGGCCAAATTCCGACAGGTGAGCAGGTGTCTCCTTCCTATTTGCTTCTCTCTCAGTGTCCCCTAACTGTCCTCTCCACTCTGCGCCGTAGGCAGCCGTTATGCACGTGTGCCTCTTTGTGAGTCCTTGTATGCTCCAAGCTTCGCGTCTTTGTGTGTTTGTCTCTTGTTTTCCTCGTGTTCCGAACGTGGAAGGTTAAACCTCACACCTTGGTGTTTGCAGAATGCCAGGCTTCACATGTTCTCTGTTGGTCTGATAGGAAATGAATGCTGGGTTCTGAAATAACCTGGCACCCCAAATCAGTATTTTATAGAAGGCCAAAGTGGTAGTTTAAAAGTGATGAGATAAATGAATGAGCTCAGCTTCCTTCTCAGTGAAATAAATAGTATTGCAACGGAGTTTAAGTGAACTGATAATAAACATATCTACATGCATGTGAATGTGTCCCTTTATTATTAATTTGAATATTGCATCCCTACAAATGTTGGTCAAATGATGTCACCCCCACCTTAGTAATATGGGTAATAGGAACATTGTTACAGTACAAGGAAGGAAGAGAAATATAAATAGTCATGATGTGTTAACCTCTTCTTGACAAGTGATTAGGCAAATCCTTTAATGCCACTGCAGTTTTGGTAAATATGTCCTGAAGGGTTTATCATTGCATCCCCCCACCTTTTTTTTTTTTTTAGGTAATTTAAAGTAACAATTATAATGTACTATACTGTCTATTTGGTTTTATGATCTTGTAAATAATAATTTATATCATATTTAAAATGTAAATAAATATATATGTGTGTGTGTGTGTGTGTGTGTGTGTGTATGTATATATGTATATGTATATATATATATATATATATATATATATATTATATAATTTTCACAAAGCATACTTGGATTAGTCATCTATAGTTTATGATGACAGGGAGTTTTGTAGCTGTGATCCCTTTAAAACAAATGTTTATTCTGTATGTCAACATGTTACTCCAAAACACAAATATAAAGAAGTCTGCAATGAGCTGTCAGCTGCGGTATTGGTCTATGATCCGTGACGCTGACGTCATAGTGACGTTAAGTAACAACAGTACATCCATAGATTTCAGTGACACTGCAGCTGCACTATGGTTATTTAGTTGTGTAGAGAAACTTGTCTTAGTCTGATTGATAAAACTAACAGGACCCTATGTTACTGCTTTGTAGCAAACAATAAGTCACCTGGGTCTTAATCATTGCAAAGAAAAATCTAAATTTGTGATCTAACCAAGTCTACAGAAATTAGGAAAGGGTGGTGTGGCTCTAAATATCAAATATCATGGGTTCTAGCTCAGTAGGTTAGTAAGTTCAACCAAAACATATTTTGTTTTCAATGCTAAACATCATCACACAATGGAATTCTCTAACATTGCTACCATTAACTGGTCTATCATTAATACAATAATACAAAAATACAATAATATATTAATAAAAGTAAAAATCTGATTTATCTGATGCAAGTTATTTAGTAAACAATGGATTTCTGCCGTTATTACATCATTAACCTAATCAACTTTAATTTATGTTTTGAAGTTTGTTTTTTATCACTGCCTATAGTTTGTGGGTAAGCTATCCAGTGCAGGAAAAAAATAATAATGGGATTACGTTCACAACAGCGGCCCTTTTAAACCCTGAAAGAAATGACATTACTGCGTATATCCTGTTTATGGCTAACATTGGCAGGTTCCATAGCCTTGCAGAGCATTGTGGGAAATGTAGTTAACCAACATCTGACATAGTGTATGAGTACTTGGCAGTCACTTGATTTACTACTTGAAGGTATGTTAAACTGCACTTTAGGTCAGAGTTTACAAAGTTTTATGCTCCCACGTATTGGAAGGAAGTAGAGCTGTTGGTCAGCCTGCGTCATTATCTGCTGTTGCTGCTGATGTTTGGAATTAGCCGGAGGTTTAGGAAAAAAAAAAAAGTTAAGCCTTTGAACTATGCACTAACTCATTTTATAGATAAACATTCACAAATAGCTTGTAAAGTATAAGTAAGAATGGCTTCTAAAGAACACTTTAGGAAGTAACATGGTGACTCAATGCACATCAATCAATCAGTACCTGATTGTGTTGTAGTAATTAGGGTGTATCAGGAACATTCTCTGTAGAGACACATTTAACCCTAAAGGCGAGGATATTAAGAGGGTAAAGCTTAAAACTGTCCCATTAGCTCTAACAAAGCATTATAATGGTGGCTGCTTCCCTATAAGGGCAGTACAATGGAATAAGAAAGTGTTTACTTGTGGGATTGTGTCCTGGGAATCGTGTTTAACTTGTTCAGGGGTAGGTTAATATCTATTAGCTCAAGGGCAAAGTATACAAATATAATATGAACAGACAACTGAAATCTAGGCCAGTCCCATGTTATATACACAGTAATTAATAGGGTCTACAGCAGCCCAGCAAGAGCCATGGCTGTATTTTATTTCAGATCCACCTAGTGGCAGTTTGTAACATTCCAGGTATGAAAATTGCTGCTGACGCCTGCTCTGCCAAAATGTTTTAATTACAAGAATCTTAGGTGTCTCTTTGCCCCTTTTCATTCCACCCCTGCCGTGGTTTGCCATGCTTATGGCTATAATAATGTCTGTAATTCTAATTGTTCAGATCAATCTGTATGTGTGTAGCCCGGCTGCCTTTGTTTATGTGTTCTTTGTTGTCCCTAGGTAGTTGGCTGATTATGTCTATATGGCTTACTCTGTCTGTAGTTGGCTGTGTTTGTGAATACCATATGATATGTTTGTCTATCTTTCTGTTCCATACCATTATATTATCTCTTGTTGTCTTTAGTTATGTGTTCTAGGTTATCGTTGACTTCCATACCATTATATTATCTCCTCTTGTCTTTAGTTATGTGTTCTAGGTTATCGTTGACTTCCATACCATTATATTATCTCCTCTTGGCTTTAATTATGTGTTCTAGGTTATCGTTGACTTCCATACCATTATATTATCTCCTCTTGGCTTTAATTATGTGTTCTAGGTTATCGTTGACTTCCATACCATTATATTATCTCCTCTTGGCTTTAATTATGTGTTCTAGGTTATCGTTGACTTCCATACCATTATATTATCTCCTCTTGGCTTTAATTATGTGTTCTAGGTTATCGTTGACTTCCATACCATTATATTATCTCCTCTTGGCTTTAATTATGTGTTCTAGGTTATCGTTGTCTTCCATACCATATATACTCTGCAAACTATGTTTATGTGTGTTTGGGTTATCTATAGGACCCTACTTTCTCTGTTTATGTTTGTGCCAAAAAATAAAGCTCTATATTCTATTTTTTGTGTGTTACAGATCTGTATGTCTCAGCTTTCTTTGTTTCCTGACGTTCTCTGTTTAAATTTAGTTCCAGGTCTTATATCTGTATGACTCTGCTTTCTCTGGCTATGTATGTTCCAGGCTGTATATATACAACTCTGCATTCTCGATATCTGTGTGTTCCAGGCTATTTATATAGCTTTGTTTCTGAGTGTTCCTGGCTGGTTGTATAGCTCTTCACTTTCTGTTTCTGTGTGTTCCAGAATATATAAATAGCTCAGCATTCTTTGTTTCTGTGTATCCAAGCTAGATTTACAGCAATGCATTTTCTAATTTCCATGTGTTCAATGCTATTTATATAGTTTCATATTTTCTGCTTATGTGTATTCTATGCTTTCTCTGTGTTTCTGTGTAGCTATATATCTCTGCTTTCTCTGTATCTATGTGTTCGTGGCTAGCTATATATCTCTGCTTTCTCTGTATCTCTATGTTCATGGCTAGCTATATACCTCTGCTTTGCCTGTTTATCTGTGTTCCAAATTATTTCTAAGTCTCCCATACTGTCTATATGGTTAATTTTATGAACATTTTATAGCAATCTATTCATTGGGCTTGATGTGTTTCTATCTCTGGCTAACTGTTCTTCTATCATGCTCGTGTGTGTATTAATCTGTGGTTACTTGATTTTTTTGGTTGATAATTCTGTTTGTTTGTTTTTTCTTGCTTACTGTTGATTTTTCCTGCATATTACCTCTATCCTTTTGCTAATATGCATTTCTATGTGTGGTTGTCCCTCTAAGATACCCTGACACAGTGACTCAATGGTCTGCGCACATCAAGCGTCTCAGCCCATGTATTGCTTCTAGAACGACACATCCCATAATGCTCTGCTATCCTTTAGTATCTTGGAAGCTATAGTTAGTCTGGGGATTTCCTTTTTGGTCATTCTGTATCTTGCCTAAGGAATGTAACTGCCACAATGTAGAGCTAGAGGTTTCCTTTCATTCATTCTGGCTTACTGCTACACCCCACTACATACCCATTGGCAGGGCCGGATTAACATAGGGGCTGATGGAGCTGCAGCTCCAGGCCCAGGCCCATGAAATAGGCCCATTTTAAAAAAAAGAATAAAAAAATTATTTTTTTACTTTTTTGGTTTTTTACACACTACTCTTTTGCCACCTGACTGGTATTTTACCGGCACAGCCAATGTTTGAGGCTGCCTGGTTGTGCCGGTATTGCAGTAATACCCGCAATAGAAGTGCAGATATTTTTCTCAGTATAAACGGAGATTACTCTGCAATACCAGCACCAGCCAGTAGGGGTCACTGTGTGTGGAGAGAGGAAGTTACAGCATATCCCTCCCTGCCTCTCTCTACTCACTGATCCATGGGGGAGCAGCTACACAGCACAGAGGGTTCAGACAGCAGCTCCCAGCCTGCAGAGACAGCCTACAGCTCAGGTAAGTGGGGGGGTGGGGGGGGTAAAGGCTGCAGGGAAACATGGGGACACTGAGACACTAGGGGACACTGTGAGACATGGGGACGCTGAGACACATAGGGATGCTGGGAGACATAAGGACATTGGGAGACACACTGGGACATGGAGACACTAGGGACACAGTGTCTCCATGTCTCTCAGTATCCCCATGTCTCCCAGCCAGTGTCCCTGGTTTCTCAGGGTCCCCATGGCTCTCAATGTCCCCTAGTTTCCCAGTGTCTGTGTCCCCATGGCTCTCAGTGTCCCTAGTGTCTCAGTGTCCCCAGGGCTCCCAGTGTCCACCAGTTTCCCAGCCAGTGTCCCCATGTATTCCAGTGTCCCTATGTCTCTCAGCCTGTGTCCCTAGAGTCTGTGTCCCCGTGTCCCCAGTGTCCCCATGTCTCCCACTGTCCCTAGTGTCTCAGTGTTCCCATGTCTCCCAGTGTCCCCTAGTCTCCCAGTGTCTGTGTTCCCATGTCTCTCAGTGCCCTTAGTGTCCCAAAATGTCTGTGTCCCCATGTCTCCCAGTGTCTGTGTCCCCAAATGTCTCAGTATCCCCATGTCTCCCAGTGTCCCCATGTCTGTATCCGCAAGTGCCCCCATGTGTCCCCAAGTGTCTCCAGTGCCCCTATGTCTCCAAGTGTCTGTGTCCCCGGGGCTCTCAGTGTCCCCATGTCTCACTGTGTCCCAGGCTGGCCTTCCAATTCTTTGGACAGACATGCCCCCTTTTTGGCAGTTCTGCTCACGTGATTCGCGTCAGTGGACCACCCTTTTATCCCGCCCATTGACTTCCCTCTTTACTGGACAGTGCTGTTATTGGGTATGGATTTACTTGAAAGATGAAAGCATAAATTAGAGAGAGATTAGCATAGAGTATGTGTTTTCTTATAGCTGCATCCTTTGAGTTTCCCTCCAACACCATCTCCATCAGATACATGATGCTTGGGAGGTATGACTGTTTTAGTGTTTTTGGTCAATAAGATGCTGTAATTAGGCCCCATCATAACTGTCAGCCCCAGGCCCATTGGGCTCTTAATCTGGCCCTGCCCATTGGGCTGTAAACTAAAATGTGGAGAACTGATGGAGATATTGCAAATTGCAGGTTTTCCACTAACATTTAAATTGTCAGAAATTCCAAGTGAACTCCATGTGTATTTCAAATTTAGACCAAAACAGCTTTACCAAAGCCATAGTTGACTTGGAGAATATGTTTGATATTTTGGCCTTCCATTTGAAACCCTTTACCCGTTCTCCAGAGTTTATATTTAATATAAAATACCATCTCCTTAGCCTTTTAAAGCAGACACGTCACATTAAATAAAACACTGAAAACCACTTATAACTTGTATTAACCTTTTTTTGATCTGATGATTCATTCTCTTTTAAATTGTACATTTAAAATGTAGCAAGGAATATCACATTGTAGTTCAAGCTAGGCATGGCTACGGCACACAATACAAATGAGGAGAACGGGAACTAGTCTCAGATCCTTTACTTCCAGTAACTATGTTCAGTGGCAGACAAAGGGCAAAATTCACAGTGGTTGACAAGAAGTCACGATGGAGGCGCCCAGTTGCTGGATAGATGTGTGGGTTTCTACATTTAATTTTCAGACCTCACAAAAACATGTTTGCTATAAAAAGATGCATAAAGACCTTGCACACACACAGTTGGAAGATTCATAACAGCGCCTCGACTACAAACCCTTTTAGAACAGTACAACACTTTTAAAAATCACCCCAAGGCTTATCATTGTCATCTTACACTTTGCTCTTACAATGACAGACTGCATCTCCAGTTGCACTTCAGACTGCAGTCCCGATGATACACATTTCTGTCTTTTATCCCGGGCAGCCATTTCTTCAATTTCTTCACAAACTATTGAACAATGACCATGTATCTCCAACATAAAACTGTTGGAAGAATACTTTCCACCACTGGTTTTCTCGTTCATTTAACACACATTCTCTTACTTTCACTCCCACTGCCTTTTCTCATACAATAGTCTGTTCACTAAATCTTGAATTTGTTATAGGAAATTTGATTACTTTCATTCAGCTCAGTTCTTTGCAATTCGGGTGATGAAACTTGTCTCTTGTTCACTTTATATACTCTCAACCACACAGAAAGCTCAATGAGCCAAAAGGGTCCTTGCTCTGTTTATCAAACAAGTGTAGAGAAAAGACTTGCAGTTCAAATGTAATTGATTTGTGAATATCTGCATTAGTAAACTAATGTTTTACATAGCAAATGTTCAGCTGAGATTGCTGGATTTCTAAAACGAATGCTGTTCGGCTCTTGGATATAGACGACAAAGTACTTCTCTCTCATAATCAGGCGCTGTGCAGATTATCTCTCCGCTACACTTCTAGTGTACTCGCTTGTTTTATACATGTACCATATCTTTCACGTTGACATATTTCTTTCTACTCCTCCCACACAATGACTGTCTACGTCTACTCTCACAGATTGTCTCTGCTGTTCATTACTGTCACCAGAAGAACATTGTTCATCGAGACCTTAAGGTGAGATACATTTCCAACTTAATAAATTTTTTTACCCTCTGTGTATGTGAATTCTGTTGATTATTATTCAGCCCTTTTACCTAATACACCAAATTATTGTTGTAACTTTATCCAGCCATATTTCTAAACTCCTAAGATATTGTTTCTCTGCTCTCTTGCAATCGTTGCCCTTTAGACTTCTTACTATCATACTTTTCTTGCTGCGTTAGGCTGAGAACCTCCTGCTCGATTGTGATGCCAATATAAAGATTGCAGACTTTGGGTTCAGTAATGAATTTACTCCGGGTGGGAAGCTGGACACTTTTTGTGGGAGCCCCCCCTATGCAGCTCCTGAGCTTTTCCAAGGCAAGCGGTACAACGGACCTGAAGTGGATGTCTGGAGCTTAGGGGTTATCCTTTACACGCTGGTCAGCGGATCTTTGCCTTTCGATGGACAGAATCTCAAGGTAAAGTGAAAGAAGGGGACTTTTGGAAGAGGTAGAACGTGAGGTGTTGGAAGATGTTAAACATTTTATGTTGTGGTAGCTACGGTCCTTTAATGTATTTATATTTTCAGTCCTTCATACTCATCAATTAAAATATTTGTGGGATATCCCTCTAAGCCTATGATACGTTCACTTTTATTATGTGCTTTGAGGACATTCATTTGGGAAATGGCAATTCAGTCTGTTCATGCTTCTGCCATCTAGTGGCATGAGAGGGGTTTTGTCAGACTATTTTTATTTCATGCATTCTGATGGTAATCATTTTTTTTTTCCTTCAGGAGCTACGAGAGCGTGTCCTCCGTGGGAAATACCGAGTCCCGTTTTATATGAGCACAGACTGTGAGAGTGTTCTGCGGAGATTCTTGGTGCTAAATCCAAACAAGAGATGTACTCTAGATGTACTTAAACCTTATTCAATTTTTTTTCTCTTTCCTTAGAGTATCTCATGGTCAAACAACCTGCTTTCTTTTCCATGCTGATTATTATGATCATTTCTTGCAGCAAATAATGAGTGACAAGTGGATGAACATTGGTTATGACAGTGATGACCTTAAGCCGTATAAAGAGCCAGAGGAAGATCATGCTGATCCCAAGCGCATTGGTGAGGGTGGCAGAATCAGTCTCTGGTCATTAGTGAACACTAAATTGTTGTGATCCCAAACGTTAAATAATTTTAAAGGCAATAATCTTATTTTGATGATACTTGGTGTCCATTCTAGGCACCCTACTCTGAACTTTGGTAATCTTTGGGCCTGAACGAGTTCCACAGTCTCATTCCCTTGGGGACAAAACCTGTCCAAAAATAAATAACACTACAAACATTTCTCCATGATCATCATGTGGTGTTCTAACATGAAAGACTACCATCATTTTGGTATTGGAGTCAGGCAAGGAGCTCTATGACATCTCACTAGCTAGATATTAATATTTAAAAAAAAATTTGGGGATTTTTTTTTTTTTTTTTAAACACCAGAGTACCTGAAACTTTATTTCAGCATAAGCTCAGGAACACATCTTCCTTTACATCAACAGTAGGCATTTTGCTTTTATTGCAGAACTACATCACAGAATTAGGTTTACCATAGATGGCATAGGATTATAGGAATTGTAGTTTCTCAACAGCTCGAGATTCACGGTTTGCTTATCAATGGCCTAATTTTAATGTTATTTGAAAATATTTGAAAATAAATAATTGTGAAAATTTACAGAACCCATCTCACCTGTTAAAACTATGTTGCTCAGATTGCTGCCATCTTGTGTTAAATTATATACTTTATTGAAGTCAAATATATGCTATAATAGGAGTTTCTTTTCCTTTGAATTGTCACCCTTTTGTGGGTGACATTAATTGCCTTCTGGTGCCTTTGAAGAATGCATTTGATGGAACTCTAAATAAAATAATTAAAAAAGAATGGGGTTTAAAAAGATAAAACAACGCAACTCCTTGCAATCTTTTAGAACACAGCCCCACTTGAATGTGACAGTTGCTTGTTAAAGGGGAATTCTTGTCACTGTAGCCTTGTGTGATCAAGCTTTCTATGTTGTAGATGTTGTTAATTTTACATTTCCTTGTTCTGTGAAAATAAATTAAAAAAAGAAATCCATCTACATCCTTGGCTGAAAAGCAGCAGTGGGTGGGGAATGACTAATAAGTCTGATTTGAGGTTTGAAATGCAGTTCCTGCTGGAGGAGGGGCACAGCATGCTCCATCTTATAGATCTCTGTGTGTCATCTAGCAACCTACAGAATTCATTTAATTAGAAATGCCATCGACCAGTACCTTCCGCTGCTCTCTGCCCCTGTACGGTAGACTTTATCATGCCAACCAATAGACCTTATTCATGTCATGATTTAAATGACGCAGAACAAAACATCATGTTTGTCATCAATTAGTGTAATAATGTTTCCACTTTGATGCAGGATGCTTGCAAATTTAGTAATTTGTTTCATTGAGAACAGCCCTCATGGGGTGCCTGAAGGGTATTTGGTTCCAATGATTATGCCAACAAAGGCCTTGATTTTATATTTTTGAGTAAACTCTTTTAAATGATTTTTTTTTCAAAATATAAAAATATCCAAATATATCATATATAAAAATGTATTTTAAAAAAAATCTGATTACAGAAAAAAATATATATCATAATTGTAAACTGTGTTAAAAGTTCTTCCAAAAATATTAAATCATTTGCAAATATTAAACAAGAGATTGATGTATTGCCAAAGGAATTCCAATTTTTGAATTACTATCCACTATTTTTTTTCTGCTCCGTTATTTTGGCCTGATGTGAAATTTCCATTTAAATTCTTGAGTAATTCCCAACTAAATAATTAAACCCAATAGGGTGTATTCAGTAAACATCCCATTATGGTGAGCTGAAAAATGAATTGCTAAATTTAGGCGAAAATAGCCAATTTAGAAAAATAGGTCAATGGTTTCACACCCGACAGGTCCAAAGCACACATTGAGGCATTAATTAATAAGACTTAAATTTATAAGACATCAATGAGATCATTGCTTTGTGTAATTTACAAAAAGACAAACATTTACAAAAGATATATCATTGCAGGCTCTGGTAATTATAGTTTCTATATTTTCTTTTTTCTGCCTAGAAATCATGTTAGATATGGGTTACTCTCGGGAGGAGATCAAAGATGCTCTGAGCTCAAATAAGTACAATGAAGTAATGGCTACCTACCTGCTGCTTGGAAGGAAGGCTGAAGTGAGTTCTCAACAGATCATACTAGAGGGGGGCATTCTTAACATCCTAAATGTTTGTGGACTGCATTTCCCATGATGCTCAGCTGGAAATGGTAGCTCACAAACTTTTGGAAGGCAAAGCTTAGCCCACACTCTGACTGCTCAATCATCTGATAATGTTCTTCAAAAATATGATGAACTCTTCATATTTCCCTCCCCTAGAATGAAACGGTGGATTCTCGAACAGACAGCACACTTTCCCTCTCTCGTTCTCGAGTCACCTCAGATGTCACCAACGGTGCCACCAAGTCCTCTTCGAGTCACAGCAAAAACCAGCGTGGCTATCAGAGGCAGAGGAGACACAGTGACTTTTGTGAGTTTATTTTACTCAGACTGGGATCACTAATCTATCTCTCCTGCTTGGTGACATAAGTACACTGTTAAAATGTATTAAGAGAAGGATGACCTTGTTCTTTGGGTTACCGCCCTGCACTCTCCGTTTGGAATTAGTTTGAACTGATTCCCCAGTGCAGTCTTACTATAGCTCATTGGATTCATGACAACAATATACAAGTCTACGGCGCTGTGCTCATGGGAAAGCATAGAAATCAAAGACTATAGAGAGTTATATATTTATTTGGTAATATATTTATTTTGGGAAGTTTAAATCCTACATAAGTCGCTAAGTTCAGGATAGAAATGCATTATTAGTGAGTTCAGACAAACTCAAAACACTCGCCAGTATGTGCATGCACGCAAGACTGGTTCTCCTAACTAATATCAGGAGTGGGCAAGAGGAATGGGCTATTTAGACTGGCCACAGTGAAATACTGTACTTCATTAAACGGATAGTGTATGTACCATAACTACTGTAGGTCATGTTAGGGGGTTTTAGTGCACCAAGTCTTTAAGGGCCATCAAGGTCCCATTACGCTTCCTTATGTTGGATAACTGGTTAACTTGGCACAGAAAGGATACTTTTAAAAATAAATAAAGATCAATATGGGGCATTTGTTTCTAATCTATTCTATTGATATAGTTATGTTTATATCTCTATATTCTTCTGTCTACTCACAGGTGGCCCTGCCCCTGCTCCTTCGCAGGCCAAGCGTAGCCCCCCAGGGGTGGGAGAAGAGGGGACAGTTGGTGAGCGCCTTGCCCCCAGGAGGGGCAGTGGTTCAGTGGGTGGGAGCAGCCGGCCTCCCCCACCCTCTAGCCCCATGGTTAGCCACGCTCACAATCCCAACAAGGCTGAAATTCCAGAACAGCGCAAGGAGGCTCCTCCCACAACAGTAAGGACATGCCTAATTTTTTATTTTTCTTTCTTAAAACACCGCGTTTCCCTTTAAAACACCCCTCTGCTGCTGTAGGTTGAATTAGGGTGTCATCAGTCAGCTGGCTAATGTAAATTCTGTGCCACTTTCTTTACACAGAATGACAGTGGTTGGCTGAGAGTGTTCAGCTGACATTCCCAGCCAGTGAATTCCGACCCTTGTGGCTTCCAGCTTCTGCAGCTCTGCAGAAGCAGGAATCACATCATTAGACCACCAGTGAACATCAGAGCCCGGTTGGGGTCCAGGTAAAAGAGTAAACTGTTGACAAACTGTATGCCTCATTAATGGGGAACCGGCCATGGTACTCCTGGTATCATAACCACTACTGCTTTCTGTAATGGTTACGATGCTTGGAGTAACCTTTTAAGTTTTCTGGAAGTCCATTGTACCTATTTTCTTCTAGATCACAAATGGTCAGTAAGCATCCCAGAGGGTGTTTTAGCCAGAGTTATTACATTACATTGTAGTTACTGCAGTTTTTTCACCAACACATGCTCTTTGCAATGGTGTGGTGAGCATTCTTGGAGAACTGGGTATATCACAGGGCACTATTTTGGGGTAGAGGGGAAAAAGGTGGTGTTTTTTTTTATCATATCCAATGTATCAGGAGAAAAGGGGAAAGGGAAGTGTAAAAGCTAAAATAAAATGGAAGTAAACAACTTTTTAAAACCAAAATATTGATTTGACAGCTGATTTACAAAGTTTACACTAAAAAGATACAAATTACTGTTTAGTGAATAAACCCTGTAGACATGCCTCCCTATTTGTTGCCATATTTACTGTTATTTAAAGTCTATCATTTAAAGCCACATCCATCACATCAGCCAGTATCGCTTCCAAACCACTCATACTTCCAAAGGACCGCACCATTCTTGTCTGTATCCTACACTGCAAAAATATTATTTAATCAGTTTACAATGTGAACTGTACCACTTCTCAGATTAACACGCCTCCAGGTGTCATGGGCCGCAGGAACACGTATGTTTGTACAGATCGCCACGGCTCAGAGCGTCACTCCCTACTCCATAATGGAAAAGAGAACAGGTAATTTGTCTAGTTACTTTCTTTGACCTGGATTTAATATCTATGGGATCTATGGAAGTCACCATTAAAGTCTATGGGACTTTTTTTGTTTAATATAAATAATAAATAAAATATTTGGAAAGTTTCTTAAATCAAGGCCTTTGTTATTAGAAATTCCATCAATGATCTCAAATTATCTGGGTGGGATAGAATAAACATTTGCACTTGTTTGAGATATTGGGATAATTCAGTCATAACAGTCCAGTCTAAATATTGTATATAAAAATGGAATGTCTTACTCATTTTACAAGAGTGCTGCTGATGTTAACTAGATAGACTAATCCCTGGCTGAGCTGAGGGTTAAGGGATTTTTAGGATCAGATGAATTGTCGTTTGCTCATAGTATAATATCACTGAATGGTAAATATTATCTGTAACTGGAGTTTAGGGTGTAGGTATTTACCAGTCTGTTCTATTGGGCATATTTGGAATATTGATATTGTTACAAATAGAAAATGGCTGACCAATGGCTTACCAAAAGTGGTCTCTTTTCTTCACCCTGACAGCTCGACTCCCACTCGTCCACCTGCCTCGTCACCCTCCACCCAGAGCATTGCAGAACGAAGCACACTCTCCCGAGGATCTAATGTGCGCAGCACTTTCCACGGTGGCCATGTGAGGGATCGGAGGGGTCAGAACCCACCCCCAAGTTCTCCCACACGTCCTCATGAAGGACTGAACCAGAGCAGGAGCCGAGCCACCTCAAATCTGTTTAGCAAACTGACCTCCAAACTGACCCGCAGGTAATTTAGATGCGTCTGGTGGCAGAGAGGACCTATTTTGGTGGCCGACCACCCCCGTGTTATTGCACAGCAACATACACAGATCAGACCATGTGTATTGCCACGCACACTACAAAGAGGACCCTCCAAACAACCTTAAAATTTGCTTTTTCCTGCATAGTGTGGGTGTTGCCTTGGTCACTCCATAGAATCCACCCAGAAGGCATGTGATAATCAGGACCTTATTGCTGCTTGAGTGGTAGATAGAAGGCAACCAGAAGTTTGTTTTTGAGTTCGTAGAATTACCCATTCCTCTATGCCTACTACTAGATTGCACTGACTGGAGTAGGCTGGCACCATGATGCATACCTACTGCATAAACATATTGATTGAAATCCACCCCTACTTATAGATTGACACTTATAGAGAAAATGACCAATGTTCCCCTTTTCCTTGATCGTGAACCCTGAAAGCTATGTAGCTTGGAATATTTGTCCCTCCTGCTTTCTGTCCTTTCTTTAACTTTCTCTTAAACCTCAGGCCACTGCTCCTCTCCTAGTCCTAATTATCCCTCCTTCCCCTATTCTATTCATTTCCACTCTTTCTTTCTCTCTCTATCTTTACCTCCCTCTTTAGGGTCGCTCTTGACCCATCTAAGAGACAGGCGTCTCATCGCTGTGTGTCTGGAGTGTCTCTCCCTCAGGACAGCAAGATCAGTAAGTGCCATGCTCTAATACCCGAATATGTTGCCTATAATGCTTCTTAATCTGTGCTAGGTGCTTTAAACCCAGGGTTGTCCAGCCTTCACCTTCCAGACTTGGTTGGACCTCATTTTCCATTAACCCAGCATAGTGGGAATGACAGTCCAACAGCAGCTGGGGTTCCAAGGCTGGACACCCCTATTTTGCCCTAACTAATTATGTGTTGCAAGCCTTTTCAGTACTTTTCTCTTAATGTTTATTTAAATGCTTCTTTATCCTTGCAGTTCCTTTCTATTGTACCCGCTATGAGAATGTGGTGCTTGTAGTAATAATTGTTCTGCCGTTAGCATAGTGCTAGTGCTGCTTATCTTGCTCAGCTTCTAGAACAGAGTTGTCACAAGTGGTTCTTAAAGGGACATACATCACTTTAAGAACCACATACATCACAAAGCTTTAGCTTTGAATGAGACAGTTGCTTCACTCTGCAGGCAATTATTATAATAATTTTTTTATATTTATGTGCTTTTTCTTACTCCTGCTTTCCACACCCACTTCAGGGGGGGCATTGATCTAACCAATCAGTGTCCAATTTCTAGGAATGCTGTAAATGTTCATTAGACATGCCTGACAGTTTTAGACACATGCAGTTGTAAGATCTCTTCACCTTGCAACATCTTACAGGAGTAGGAGAGAGGGAGTGTGTGTCTCTAAGAGCTGTATGGGGGGAGGCTGAGTTTGTGTCTCTAATAGCTGTATGGGGGGAGACTGAGTGTGTGTCTACTATAATGTAGCTATGCATGTGCCTGAGTATCCTTTTGTATCTGTGTCTGTGTGCATGTGTATGCTTTTGTTTCGGAGCGTATGTGTATGGGTAGTTGCTGGCATTGTCTTGTGTGTAATAGGGGCTGCTTGTGGTTTTAGTGTATCGTATTTATGGTGAGCCTGAGTTTCATGTGTGGGAAGTGACTTTGTATAACGGTGACTGTTATCAGGGGGTGATTGTGGTAAGGTCAAGGTGGTGTAAGTGTGACACTGTTTGGAGGGTGAGTGTGGCAGTTATGGTAGTATGTGTGACCGGGTGAGGTGGGGTGAGTGTGACAAAGTTAGGGTGTGAGTGTGACTGGATTGGGGGCTAAAAGTGGCAGGATGAGCGGCTGTGAGTGTGAAAGGGTTGAAGGGTTAGTGTTACAGGGTTTATCTGGCAGGTTGATGGTGACAGGAGTGGCGAGTGTGATAGAGTGAGGGTGAGTAATTTTGACAAGGTTAGCAGTGGTGATTGTGACACGCTTGGGAGGTGAGTTACAGTGGCAGAGTGAGTATAGGGGTAGCAATGTAGGAGGAGGTGTGTGTGAAGTATCCGCATGTGGTAAGGCTGTGTTAAACACAGTCCCCCCACACTGTAATGCCTTTTTATATAAAATTTGTCTCCTTCCTGCTTGCCTCCAGGGCAGATTGGGTGGGGAGGAGGGAGAGCAATAATACATTCCCTAGTGGTCAAGTGAGCTCCCGGTGCAACCACAGGTCTTCTGGTCCAGTGCTCTGTGAGGAGGTCAAATTGCAGCATGCTCACTGAATCCCTCACAGAGTGCTAGAATTGGGAAGAACCACATACCACCCTGGAGTAATTTTAAAGGACCATGATCTTTTGAATTTACCCCCGACTCAAGGAGGTCCAATCAGCTGTTTGTGCCCAGGCTCTAGGCAGCCTCCTAAGGGGTAATCTGGCTCTGGAGGCGTGCCCAATAATGCTACCTGACCAAGTTTATAGTTAGCTTATAAATGTTTATTACATACTGTTCAATGATTTTCAACCTTTATTTTGGTATGTATCATTTAAAAAAAATTATGTTTCTGCTTGTTTTTTAAAACAATTAATTGTCAAGTGATGCATGTCCTTTTAAGGATCATAATACCATGGGAGTTTTAGCACTCTGTTAAGTGTACTTGACTCAACTAGTGGGCCTGGGTCATTCTAAAAGTGTTATGTTTCTGTTACCCTCTAGAACTGGATTCTGGAGACAACTTTGCTCTAGAACCTCTGTGATTCTTTCCAACTCAATTCTGTCTGTCTGTCTGTGTAAAATGTGAAGAATACTACCTAAGCTTTAGCACTACTATATATATATTATCTGTCTCATGCTTGTGATATTTCATGTTTTCTATCCCTTTCCTGTGCTCTCTCTTATGTAAATGTATACAGTATTACAAAGCACTAGAAACTAATTATTATTTCATTTTATATACTTTTTGTAGGGTCACAGACGAATCTGAGAGAGTCTGGAGACCTGAGGTCACAGGGTAAGGACTTTATGATGTACAGTAATACCTTTTATTTTAACAAATACAATGGGCCCTTTAACTGAGCAAAGGTTTCAAAAATAGAAAGTACAGGTCTGTATTAAAATTAATGGGTGTGTTTCTTTTATAAGCATCTGTGCTTCTTACTTAAGTTCATCACTTATTTATTTATGTATTTTACATTATGAGCAAATTAAAGAATAATTCAAAAGGAACCAGATTAATATCTTTAACTTGAAATAGGCAGGTAGATATTCAGGCGATGAGGACACTCTGGGGTGGGGGAATGAAGAGGGACAGGATTGAGATTAGATGAGTTGGTCTGAGAAGGGCTCCTGAGTAGGCTAATGAATTTGCAGTGCGATGGGGTCAAGCTAATGAATATTTCTTTGGAGTTTGAGAATAGTATTGAGGGAAGTGGTGGGATGTTAGGTGGGATATTTTCTAGTAATGGGGTACTGCAATGACAAATTATCCAAAGCACAAAATAATACATTAAGGAGGGTGAAAAGTAAGGGGTTTGAAGATGAGGATGGGTGGAGACAAAGTGGGAGACAAAGGAGGCTTCAGGTAGTAGAGCGATTTTTATACAGAAGCTTAAAGTTTAAAGGAATTTGAATCAAGATTGTTGATAGACTGAATGCCAGTGAATTTTTTGCAGTAAGAAGGAGATGAGCTGATGTCTGAGGCATGTTGTGTTTGATATGGGCAGCAGTGGTGTTTTGAAGTGGGATAGTGGTATTTTATATATGTCATTAACTGTCATATTCCCACTATTTCTTCCCACTACTGTCACCTCTCTTTAAGGGGTATTCAGTAAACTCCATATTGTAGAAGACTGAATTCCAAATGGCAAAATTAAAAGTACCAAACTTTACCTTAATGAAGTGTTTTGGTGTATAGATCATGTCCATGCAGTCTTACTGCTCAATTCTCTGCCATTTAAGAGTTTAAAAGCTTTGATTATTTACCCCTATCCACACCTCCCCTGCTGGTGACTTATATAGTCTAACTACACACTTCCTGTAAAAAGAGATCTAATTTTTGTTAAAGCGGCACTGTCATGCTGAATCCTGTTTTTTTTTTTTTTAACCCCCTCCGGCCTCCACTACATCTAACTAACACCCTAGTCACCCCCAAATGCCCCTAAGCCCCCCACATTACCTATTTTTTATTCCTTATTTTCTGCCCCGATCCACGTCATCAGCCCACACTAGATAGACTGTGAGATTCCCGCACATGCCCAGTGAAACACCTGGAGATGCGAACGGGAATTTCATCTATTCATTCATTCATCAGACAGACGAATGAATGAATAGAAAGATCAGCCGAACAAACAAACACTGTGTATCAGTGTATCTGTGTATCAGTGTTCATTTGTTCGTGCAGTTTATTACAAGGAGGGAGCTACCGGCATGCAGCTCCCTCCTTGTATTATGTAAAGATAGAAGCGGCAGGGAGCAGTGCTCCCCACCACTTCATAAGCCCCCCAGGCAATCCCTCACTCTATGGGGGTCAATATGACCCCCATAATAGCACAAGGGAGATTAAAATCTCCCCAATGCCCCTACTCGCTGTACCGCGAGTAGGGGCATGTCCACTAAACAGTGAGCAGCCTGTGGCTGCTCACTGTAAAAACAAAAAACAAAAAAAAAACTATTGCCCCCCACCCCTAAACGACTGGTGGGGGTCCTAAAGTAAAATAGGGGGAGAGACCTAATGTCCCCGGCCCCCACCCCTGCGAGGCGGGTGGGGGCCATAATAATAATGAGGGGGGGGGATCTACTGCCCCCCCGTTCCCCACCCCTGGGCGGCGGGTGGGGGCCATAGTGATAATGAGGGGGGACCTACTGCCCCCCCCGGCCCCCACCCCTGGGCGGCGGGTGGGGGCCATAAAGATAATGGGGGGCCTACTGTCCTCCCCCCCACCGATGGGTGTGGGTGGGGGCCTTCCTAAATGACTAGGGATCCCCAAGCCCCTAGTCACCCACCCTCCCACCCAAATAAAAAGTCTGTACCTACCCCCCTCACCCTAAAAAATAGTGAGGGGGGAATAAAATAACTAACCTGTAAAATAAAATTAAACTTACCATTCAACGTCTTCTTTTTTCTCAAATCTTCATTTTTCAGCTCCAAAAAAGGGCAAATAAAAAAACCATCATAACCGTCGAATTTAAAATAAAATAAAAATCCCGTGGGGGCTAGAGGGGGGTGGACAGTAGGTCCCCCCCCCTCATTATCTTTATGGCCCCCACCCGCCGCCCAGGGGTGGGGGCCGGGGGGGTGGCAGTAGGTCCCCCCCATTATCATTATGACCCCCACCCACCGTGCAGGGGTGGGGGGGGGAATTAGGTCTACCCCCTTATTTTACTTTAGGGCCCCCACCCGTCGTGGGGGCCAATAGTTTTTTTTTGTTTGTTTGTTTTTTACAGTGAGCAGCTACAGGCTGCTCACTGTTTACCAGACATGCCCCTACTCGCGGTATAGTGAGTAGGGGCATATTATTTACTAATACTAAGTAATTTTTACTTAGTATTAGTAAAGTTGGCTGAAAGACCAATTTAGGATTCAGCATTTTAGTAGATAGCTCCCTGATACCGTGGGAATTAGGGAGTTATCTACTAAGCGGCTGCAAGGTGCAGCCACAGCACGAATAGGATCGGAGTTTCGTTCATTTGACTGTATGAGACCATCTGATTGAAATAGCAGAGTTTTACTTGGCTATCAGATCGACAGCCACCGTAGGCATTCACACCCTCCAATGTAAACATTGCCGTTCCTGCAGAATAGCAATGTTTTACATTGTAGGGTTTAAACGACAGGAACATGGCACACAGACCACTTAATTGAGATCAATTAATTTAATGTTCAATTAAACGTGCAGGAGATAAAAACATCTTAGACAAACACTTTAGTGCCAGGAATACAAACATGTATTCTTGACACTATTGTGCTGGTGTGACTTTTTAGGTGACTGGTCGTGCTGAAAAGGTGATTTTACTCTCCTTTAATCCCACGCAGTGCCTGTCTTGCAGTGGTTGGTCCTGCCTCCATGATTGAGATCATCAGTCTTGATGATCTCAGCCAATCCAAAACTTCCAATAGAAAAGCATTGGGAAGCTATTGCGCATGCACGGCAAATTGCTGCGCCAATCAGCATTTCCTCATTGCCTCCATGAAGGGTGTGGAGACGCTGAACACCAGTGCTGTACACTGTGCAGCACTGAGATAGGAATCGCCTCTAGTGGCCGTCTGAGTAACTGAAACTAGAGGTGTTACCAGACACTCAACACAAAGCGTTTACATCGAAAAGCCTGCAGGTACAGGATATAGACATCAGTACCATCACATTAAGTTGTAGCTGTTATGGTGACTAGTGTCCTGTTAAGTAAACACATTGTGTTGTAAGACCCAATTGAAAAATATTTTTTATTTATTTATTTTAATGTTAGCTTCGTGAGCCAGGGGAGGTGTGGCTATTGCTGCATGAACAAAATTTATTTTACTCCTAAGTGGCAGATAATTGAGCAATGACGGGCATGATACATACAACACTGCTTCATTGAGCTAAAGTTAATTCGTGCTTCGAGCATTCCCTTAACAAAGCAGTTTTATTCTATAGATTTTAGTAGTCTCACAATTGTGCGAAAGTCGGGCATGATCTGTATACCAAAATTACTTCCGAGCCTCAAGTTGTTTTGGTGCCTAGCGTATCCCTTAAAGTCAAATATAGCTGATTTGGATAAATTCACCTATTTTAGCTGTAGCTAAATTGCTAGTTTTTGTTGTGTAGGGAATAAACCACTTTTGATTCGTTAATCCAATTTTCACCTCTATTTCTTTCTTCATCTACAGTAGCTATATACCTTGGTATAAAGCGTCGGCCCACACCGGCCTGCTCAGACCTCCCGGGGATGTGAGGAAGTCCACCCGGCGCCCTCCCTTGAATTCGCCAGCCCCTTCCACCGCTCCCAACGAACCTTCCCCACCGGGCAGACCACGCCCCTTACCAGGCAAGCTCCGCCCGCTTATCACCGTTGGGACACTGGGACTTTAAGAAGGGGAAGTGAAATGCTCTATGGAAATCCATTGGAATACAGTAGCTGTTAAGAGCTGGGACACAACTCTTTGGGTATTCATGCCCACCCTGCCATTGGGATGCTGTGCCTTTAAGATGGACACACCCCCTTTTCTGGATTGCCTCACCTGCAACACATTGTTGGAGGTCCTCTTGCGTTAAGGGGATGGACAAGGCTGCTTTATCCCAGAAGACATGCCCTTTTTGGATGTGCCATGCCCACTTATGTACTTTAAAAGGGCTATGACTTTAAGAGGATGAGCTGTAACATCACAGGGGAAGGGGCCTTGGTTAATGGAAACTCCCATGCACTTCTGGTCCTGCCCACTACACCAAGATGTGTCTAATGTGGGAGGGAACATGCTGGATCAGTGTTATATAATTAGCAACATGCTCCTCCCTTTCCACAGTTCAAAACATTCTCTCTTAAATACCCACTCATATTAACCCCTACATTACCAAATACTCTTAATGAGACCCATTCCTATACAACTACCCCATTAACAAGCCCGTCCCTTAGTGAGTCTCGCCTTTAAATTCCACGTAAACCCTTTCCCTAATGTATTTCCTGTTTTAATGAGCCCCTTTGCAAGTTTTAGAATCTTAACCAATGGCCCATTATGAGCTGATAAATAATCCGTCACAACGAGCTCCCCTGTTAAGAATACCTTTCCCTACAGCAATATTCTCTACAATGAAGCTTATTAGTCTGTAAAAGATACAAATAAACAAAACTAGGTCAGAGCCATTTTAGAACCATATATAATCATTATCAGTGTCTCTAACTATGCTTTCATTGGTGAGAATTTTAAATTTATTGTTACCAGTTAAATTGTCATCTGAAATAGCATTTAACCTGAAGTTTTAGATTCAGAAGAAGAAAAACAAAAGTATGATTTTAAGTCTGTTCTGCCTTCTTTATCATAGCCCGGTTTGTATCCACATTTGAATGATTTTTCTTGTAGTAATTAACGTTCATATTGAGCTGCAGGGTTAGGGGTTTAGACAACAAATTTAAAACTAAAACCTATTGTAGGAATCAGTATGCAGAAGCTTGCTGAGCATCATGGGAAACACTCTCCTAAACATTTGTAGGTGCAAGGAAGATAGTGACACATTCTCTTGTATGACTAATCCCCTTCATTCTGCAGTACTTTAAATCAATACTAATTTCTTTTTGTGAATACAGTGATATACGAAGAATTGCCACCTTGGTCTCGCTTTCCCAGACAGAGAATTAATGTCTGAAATGTTCACATCACTCAACGTTAGATTAAGCCGCCCTTCATTAAAATTTATATGGCACTAACATATTTACAATAGGTAAACAAGACAAACCTTTAATTCTAACATTTGACAAATGTTAAAAAGTAGATGAGGAAGGCCCTCACCAAAAAGAATTTTTAAAGACACTGTCTAGACAACATATTAGCGAACGGTAGCCCTCTGGCTAGTAAGTGACTAACTCGGGGGTCTGGGACTTGGAATCCTGCAAATTACAGTTCCCACTGTCCCAGCTCTAATGCATGTAATATTCTTGGGTGCACGTGTCCCCCTTCCATTGCCCGTCTCCCCTAACAGACACTCCCTTAACCTCCCCATTCCCTTTAATAAATTAATGGAGATTTTAACGCTCAGTGCCCCTACCCATGCACTGCCCACTTTCACCCACTGGTTGCTGGTCATATGGGCAGGGTCTGTATATATGTGCGGGTCACGCAAAATATAAATTTCAAAGATTGTGGGGTGGGGGGGGGGAGGCGGGGAGTTGTCACATGATACATACTGAACATTTCATCCTGTGCTAATCTCTGCTCAGTACACATAACCACACAGTATTGTCCACTGATATCTGCTAGCATTGACTAATCACTTCTCCAAACTGTATTTAAAACTGAGACTAATCCCTTCGCTGTGCTTCTCTCACTACTGCTGTACATTGAGGCTACAGTTCACAAACCATCCTGTTTTAAGAACACACATTCATGGATTCTAATTCTGACATAACCACCGCTTTAACAAAAAAAAACTAACAAAAAACAAACCTCTAGTCACTACTTTGTACATACATCGCATTTCTAGGTACTCCTTGCTATAAACACATATTGTATCCTATTCTGCACACTACATACCCTGCAATGAGCAAGGCAAACTCAGCCTCACTCTCCCTGCAGACTGAGCATCCTGTATACGCCTTAACCCAACATACACTAATAACTTCAGTCCATTTAGATACATTTGCTTGTACATTCTGCACCCTATACCAATGCCTGCATGGCGTCCTGTAGTAATTGTATCTACACTAATTGTGTCCGTGTTATACATAGATCTGCAACAGCTATCCAAACTAAGAAATACATTCTGTGAAATACACGCCTGTCTACAATACAGCATCCATGTTTAATCCCTGCTCAACACACACCACATCAATTACTGCTCTTCACAGATTCCCCCCGCCTACCCCCAGCACATATTTGAAAATATCACCAACGTGCATACGCTGCACGTTGCAATAAGCAGTACACAAAAACTTACACAGAGTATCAAGCAATAACTGCTGAGTACACACTTTCTATACAAAGCTCTGCTCTGTGCACAATACCACATTATGCACTCACTGGACACAACTCCCATATACTCAGCAGGGATATGAGGGTTATATTTAAATAAAACCACAACTCCCATGATGCACAACCAGGCAGCTCGGCTGATCATCCTACAAGTTTAAGGTCACAACTGGAGTACCAGATGTTGCCCATCTCTGATACCAAATACTGACACCTATGGTCAGCCATTACATAGCATCCTATACGAATTATATCCCATTCCCTGTACATACCTATTAGGAATACAGCCGAACTCGCTCTCTCAATCCCTTTCTAGTCCCATCACTGCTCCTACCCCAGGCACACATGCAAGTAGTGGAACGCCCTCCCCTACAATGTACCCCAAATCTATTTATTAAACTCTCCGATCTTAAACCTGTAAACAATGTGTTTGTTTGTTTTGTTCAGTGTGGAGAGGTTTGTTTAGATGAAAGGAGCAGGTTTAATGTGGGCCAGTCGCCTGGAAATAAAAGCTAAATCTGAAGCATTATTGCATGAAGTGTGTGTGGGGGGGGGGGAAGGAGGGGGGTTGGGTGAGGGTTATTTTTTAAGATCAGTTTGATTTTTATAAATTGGTGCACCATTTAAAATTGATGAGCCTTTCCACAGGAGAGAAGTTTATCTGTTGTGTGCCTGTTATGCTTGATCGTTGCACTGGAGGGGGGTTAGAACGGAAAAAAAAAAACCTGTATATTAAAACTTTGTGAACGGTTTCATTGAATGTTCATGCAGTTATAGGCTGCAAACCAAGTATATTTAGCACTGCAATTATTGTAGTTTACATTCATATATCAAGATTTATGTTTTTTGTTGCATTTTTAAAATGGCAAGTCTTTTGGACGGTTGACAAAGCACCTTAGAGAATACCAAACACAATACTTTTTTAATCCACCTTTTCAATCCTTTTGTACTCATTTTGGATTTGAAACAATGAGAAGCCACATTGTACAGGAAAGGGTTTTCTTTGATATTATTTCCAGTGCAAAAAGGTGATCATTGCAGTTTGGAATAATTCCTATAAAGGGATCCATATTCACCCATCCTACAATAGTGGAACTCTGGAGGGGGCTCATTTTTATGGATTTGGGTATCCTACTTCAAATATTTTGTTTTCATCATGTCATTTTTACTCTTGGTCCTTCAGCGGTTGCACAATAATCATAATTCTGATACATGTAGTTGGACAGCTAAAGGGTAAAGACTAGACACCCCTAGAGTCAGGCTACCAATTTTTTCAAATCCTCAGAGATCACTAAAGATTCAAATTTTATCATTACCTCCACTGAGACCGAAGTGGATAGAACCCTACATCTTCAACATTTGTGGTCCTTCTGGACTAGTTCCAGTACTTGAGACTTTAAATATTGTGTGTGACATGGCAGGTTCAAAACATTCTTTTAGAATTAAAAATATAAGTTATATTTAAATGACAAGGAGTGTGTTGTAGAAGTGAAAGATTTGGTACAATGGACAGACAATACTTCCTCAGAGGTGACATTATGGTTTTATTGTCTTCAGGCGTTCATATGAGGGTCACAAAATACATTAGATAATGAGGAAATGGGTAGGCATGGAAGCAACCCAATTTATCTATAGAATTTTCAGTCCTACAAAGCAGATATTCATAGGTGTATTCTTCATCCTTCTGAGCTGGTGGATTCTTCCTGTAAGTCTAGTTGTTTCAGCTCCCCACTGGTGGTCTCTTTACCCATCTCAATGTAATCTTCGTGATGACAGCCTTATTTTTAACCTCTAACGATTTAATGGGGTCTCCACTCTCCCCCTGTCTGTTGGTCATTTTCAGGGGTGGTTTGTCAGTCTCTATTGCCCTCTACTTCTGTGCGGGCACAAGGTCATCGATGGCCTGTCCCTTCTCAAGTTTCTTTTCCATCTCAATCATCAGTTTCACACCATCCACAACCATCTGGACTTGTTCCACCTCAGAGAATCCCAGTCTGTCAGCATTGGAAATGTCAAAAACTCCACCAACGGCAGCAGTGTCAACACCACCTGTGGGAAGAATAAGTCATTAAGATGGAGGTCAAAATATGTGCATCTGAATAGTTTTACAATGTGGCTTTCCCAAAATTATTTGTCTCATGATACGTTTTTTCACAAGTGACAAATTGGAAAAGAGTAACTAGGTAATACGATAGTATCAGTGATCAGTGATCTAGCAGAAAAACCAGTAGATCCACACTTCGTTCTCCTGTCTCACTTTCCACAGACAGCCCTGATGCACTTTGTAGATTAAATGGTGTGTAACAAGCACATATGGAAAGATCTGGATGATGGTTTGACTGCATTTTATAATCATACGTGACAATTTTTGAGACATTTTGATAACCGTTCATAATTTAGGAACTAGACAATATTTCAATAAAATTAAACCCAGAACTGCACTCAACCCAAAAAAAATAATAAAACAATTCTGGGTGCTGCCAAACCAGGATCCATCACCAGGTCCCAGTTACCAGTAGATATAAGAAAAAAGGAATTGAGGAGGCAAAGTTTAATGAAACCCAACAGTCAGCAACGTTTCGACCTAAATGCTTGAAAAAGAACTTTCGTTAAACCTTGCCTCCTCAATTCCCTGGCATTCTTGGACCTTTTTTCTTATATATCTAATAATATTTTAATGGACGGGACATTGGATAACCATAATGGTACTGCTATTGAATACATTGTTCTACGTGGAATTTTTGAGATTGCCTTTTAACATTCAATGTAGTCTATTAGAGATGGTAAGAAACATTTTATACCCACCTGTTAGACATCTACCCCTCTCCTGACCTGTTTTGTCATGAAACGTTTATCAGATAGATACCTAGTGAACTAGGGGGGGCATTACCTTGTGATATACAACGTTGCATGACTAAAAAGCCAGAATATTAAATACATACTTCTAAAATAAGGTCCTTCTATGCCAAATGATTTATTGACCCTCAAGAGGCAGGTTTAGTAATATACACCATAGCACTTTGACTTAAAGGAATAGCAATATCAATAAAGGTACACACACACACATAAAAAAAGTGAAAGAAACATCTGTGAAAAACTGGAAAGAAGCCTACCGGTGCCTCTCTTCTGCAGACGGAGCCTTGTCAGGATTTCTTCAAATTTGGGGTGCTTGCTGAGGTTGGGAAGCTTAACGTGGACACCACCTCTCAAACCTGTACCCAGGTTAGATGGGCAAGTGAGGACGTAACCCAGATGCTCATTCCACATGAAGGGATGTCCTGCTTTTTTAAAGATCTCCTCAATCTGTATAAGATAAATAGATGTGTTACGAATGATTGAGTGATAGGATGTGAAAAGAGAAACATAATGAAGTGGGTGAAGCTTGTATGCATAAGAAGGAAGTAACATACAGAAGAAATACGTGCAAATCATTTTTACCTTCTGGAGTCCAACACAGAAGCGTCTGAAAACCTCCTTCATGTCACCTCCTTTCTGCATGGAAATTACTCTCAGATGGTCCTCTTCATTTACCCAAACCAGGAAGGTTTTGTCATCATTGTGCCTAGAGGGGCGAAAGAAGAATTGATAAACATCCATCAATCTTCAACCATAAGGAGCAAAGATAAATCAGCCTCAGTAAACCATTAAACCATCTCAAGGGGTTTTGATGATCGCTGCATCATGGTGAGGTTTTAAAGGGACACTTCATATTGGATGTGAACCTTTCTCCCCATTTTGTGCATTAGAGAGAGGTTGAAAGCCTATACTTTTCTATGGAGTCTGCTTTTAACCTATAGTTTTGCAGTTCAACTCAGATCTGATGAGTGAAATTGATAAATAAGCAGACAGTAGGTTTGTGCATAGCATTCTCCTGAACGGAGTGTACACGCATGTTCTCTCTGAGAACTGTAGAGGATGAAAAAAGGACTGTGTGTGCTTGCCATATACTAGTTGAACAACAGAGGAAGAGAAATATTCTTCCTGACATTTATTTTGCAAATCATTGAACTTGAATGCAACAGTTTGTGGGAGACAGTGACATTAACATACACAATGGAAATTAGGATGCTTAGAATGTCCCTCTAAGTCTAGATTTAACATTATACTGTCATGATAAAATACCAACACGTTATTTCATGTTGTTGATATAGTGATTAGAAGGTTATCTACTTTGTCATTTGTGACAAATTATAGAAGTCCTCAAATGAGTCATATCAATTATTTGTTCTAGACCTTGTGGTTCAGTGAACTTACCAGATACCACGGGCATCGGGCCAGTCACGGGCCATGCCAGCGGCCAAAAGCAGAGGGGACACTGGCTTGTCAAAAAGGAAGTGATCATCAATCAGCTGCTGCTGTTCGGCATCAGACATGTCCTTAAGTGGATAATACTTGCCCTTGAACTCTCCGGTCAAGCTGTTAAGGGCTGGATCAAGCAGAAAGGAAAAAGGAGAAAGTGAGGCACATGAAGTGCTGATTAACACCCTAAAACACAAAAATGGAGGATGTAGGGGAACTCTATTTCCAATACTTTACTACCACACAGACTTTGTGCCAGTAAGGTAAATTAAAATATGACTCGACTAGAATGGTGTCTTATTAGCACACAGTCATAGTTCTTGAGGGGGGGGCGGATAATGGCATGCTAGAAGGCAAACCAAGAAACACATCTACTCTATAGCCATCGTAGGACTTTGTTACCTTGAATGGACAGCTTCTCGATGGCACGACGCTCTCCACGGCTGCAGTGGGGTGGGAGAGTGTATCCCTTGATGCTGCGTCCAGTTCTAACACGGGAACTAAAGACGTAGTTTGGGTCCAGATCATCACCTCCCTGGGAACAAAATACAGAGAGTCATCTACTAGGCATTTTATTACACCCTGTAATGCCAACTTGGGTATCCTCTGACTTCATATTGCATCTCAGTACAGTTATCCACCTCAACATAGCCATCTTCGTTACTAGTTCAGGGACTATAATGCATTCTTTACAATGAAATGCCATAATGTGCATTAAGACATGGCGTTTAAAATCAAAACTAACATGGCAGTAAGCACTTTTGCAAAAGTTTTAAAGTGTGCAGGTGAAGCACTCATTCTTTTATGTACTGTCCTACAAGAGAAAACATAGCTTGTGTGGTTAACCCAGTTATGAAGATGTATCTAAGGTAATCTTCTAGACTTCCTAATTACCTTAAGGTTGCTGAAGTTGAGGTCAGTCTTGTGCTTGTCGGTGGGTTTGTAACCTCCGTGACGGTCCTCAATGACTGGGTCCAGAAGATCCTTGAATACCTCATAGGATTCCTCATCTCCAGCTACGCAACCCACAGTCATGATGAAAGGGTGACCTACAGAATATTAAATTCACAATTTTAAATGTGTTACAGTGAATTTCTCTCTAATAAATAAAAACAGACACACATAAAAATGCATGAAAGCTAGAGAAACATTGTTGATACTTCACTTCTAATGCAAGAGAGAAAAGGGGCTTTATTAATGTAATTTTATTTATTAGCACCAGTAGGCATTCCAACCCCAAATTCTATGAAGCTATATTTCATAACAAGGTTGCCCTCATTTAAAAGGCCAAAGCAACATGCCAGATCTAGCCTTGTCTTACTTATGGCCAAAAGCTCAGAGATGGCCAAACCATCCTTCCACCAAAAACAGACATCATTGGGAGGCATGGGAACGTTTCTTTCCCCCATGGTGCCTAGTGTATTGCATTACCTGGGTTATCTATTCCGGTTTGGATGATGTCATCAAGGGTGAAGCCACTTGGAGTCTGCTTGTCTCTGAGCTTCTTGTAAATGTCAAGGGTCAAAGCCTTGGCCATATGGTTGTTATGTTTGGAGAGGTCAGGGAATTCCTCTTCTGCTGAATAATTCAGCTTGAAGTTGTTGTGGGTGTTACCGAAAGGCATGGTGGAAGATCGGGCTGGACCTGATGAAGATTAGAAATAGAAAAATCTCAAGTAAAACAAAAACAATGTTAGAATGGCTTCTACCCTCCACCCCTTTAAACAAATGTGTGGAAAAAGAAAAACACAAGTAGGTTGTGAATGTGAAAAGTCTGATTCTAAAGGCATCAAGTGACCCAGTTTTGTGATAGGAGAATTTGGGTCCATGTTTCGTGTAATATCTGGGTATGGCATGCCAAACTGTTGAGTTTGACACATTTATTTCGTAAAAGGAGAATTCAAAGTGATTTTCAAATTTAAGGCCAGACTCACCAAATTAAAATAGAACGGATTTAGAGAATATTGCCAGTTAAACTATTTTGATCTTAAATTGAAATTCACTGATGCTCACAGGGTTATTTACAAATCATTCAGTTATCCTTGTACCAGTCTGTTATTGTAAGCAATCTAGTTGCTGTGGCTATCTGATGCTTCTGTGCTAGACAATCTGGATATCCAATGAATATTGAGTGAAATTCTAGATTTAGAATGCTGTGTGTAGCAGTAACATGTCTGTACTAAAAGTTATACAAACAAATCATTACTTGTTTAGAGTTTGTATAAAATCACTGAACTCTAAAAAAGGTACCCCTGCATCTTGAAACCTTTCTCTTGACCCCTGAAGTTCTAGAGGTGCTGGACACACAGCGAGTGAGCTTTGGAAGCCAAGTGTAATGCATGCTAAATGTGACACTGACAATTTGCCTCTGCATCTAGTGCTGGTGTGTGTGCGTGATCATTCCTTGTAAGTGACACTATGTGAAGCTGTTTGTGTGCGCAAGTGACAGGAGCTCTGACAAGTGGTAAAGTGTGGATGCTGCAACAGCAAATTCGGAATATATATAGATCACAGGATCCCTCTACAGAGCCAAAGCTGACAGGTGGCTCTGCAGCATGTCATAAGTTAGAAAAGAGGGGTGGGTGGAATCTAAAAGGAGGTGGCAGGCGGAGAGGGGGGGAATACAAGGGCAGCAAGAGGGGAGAATTTCAGACGATAAGAGTAAGGGGGAAAGGGGGAGTAAGAATGTAAGAATGTGAGAGGACAGTGAATGGGTAAAGGGGCGGGCGGTCATCTGAAAAAGAGGGGACAGGAAAAGAGAAAATACAAGTACGATGAACATGGGACAGAATGCAAGGACAAACTGCAGAGGGGTGAGGCTAGGAGGAAACAGGATAATAAATAACAGGATAATAAATAACAGCATGCACATATTGCCATAAATATTTCCCTCTCCTTTAAAATTTCATAAGTGCACAGGAAACCAAACTGCAGTTAGACTGCAGGGGCTGAAGAAAACATATTCAAAATGCTATAATGTGCAAACTAAGAAATGCTCTGTTGAGTTGTGCCTGGTTAGGCAGGGTTAAATACTCTATGCATAACACAGGGTTCAAAACAATGCTGCAGCAATGCAAATAGTTCCATGGATGGGGATTTGCAGGGTTAGGGAATATGGTCATGGACGCTATAGTACAGAGAACCCCATATGGGGGTATACATTTACAGCATTATACTGGACCACTGGAAAGTTTGCATTGCAAGAATTGGGATGGTGTAAGGAAGTTCTTGCATTCAGCATGTCCCCCAGCAATCCTGGTGGTGGTCCACAGGCAATGGTTAAATATAAAAATGGGGGATGCTTAAAGTACTCTGCAAATCCAGTTTTTGCCAGGGAAAGCTCAAGATGTTATGCAGTTCAGGAGCTTGAGCTAGGCTCAAAAAAGTGACAAGTTTCCATATTTTGCAGTTTTCTTCCCCGAGAAAAAGTAAAGTGCTCTGCAAATAATTAAGTCTAAAGGATCTTAATTGCTTTGCAGATCCTCCTTTGCAGACTGAGGGATAAATGTTCTGCATGCCTTTTCTTGCAAGGAATTGTGAAGCATTCTGCAGATCTCCCTTGGACAGGGTAGGGGGTTTAAGCAAGATCAATTACCTGCTGTAGAGACGAAGCAAACTTCAGGGTGACCCGTCTTTCTTTCCCAAAGTCTCAATATATATAACCCTGAGAATCCCCCTATTGGCCACCTGCTCAGAGGTGTGAATTATGTCACAGTGATATCATGAGCCTAGACACATTCGGATTGGCTCCCATTATATCCCAACTGATGCCTTTATCTGGAGCAGAAGGGCTCAGTTTACTTGTGGGTTATAATTAGAGAGAGGGGGCGAGGCAGGAGACACAGGCAGAGAGATGTCCTGGGAGTCCACCCCTCCTCCCTACTGGGTGTCAAACATGAGATATGGGGTTTCTATTTGATACCTGAGTAACGCACTTACTCCGAGGACATTTGTTAACGTTAATTTTTTTGTTTTTGTTGATTCCTTACTATGCTAAAAATAAACATTTATCCAAAGTGTGTTGGATCTAGCCCACTATTTTTACATGTGTAAGCACCAACAAAACATTGGACGTTTAGATATTCTATATGTGCAAAGTGTGTGCACTGCAAAGGGGAACAGTTACACAGAAAGGTTGGGGTGTAGCTATTTGACTTTCTGCAAAACAGTAGTGTGTATGTGTTTTGTTTGTTTTTTCATGGCCAGTCACAGTCCAAATGTGGACACCAAGAATGTCTGCAATTCTAATTTTTTGCTAAAAACTCTCTTGGTTTTGTTTAACTTGATATGCAAGGACGTAGTAATAAAAAATAAATATATAAATAAAAATTTTAAAACACACACACAAAAAAAACCCTCAGGATTCAGTCAATGCATAAAGGAAGAAATGACAGTGTTGTCCAAAGGCATCTGATCCTGCCAAAAGTTGGCTGTGTTTAGGCGATGAGCTGGGTGTACCCAGGCACAACTTAATGCAGCTGCAGCACCAGCTATCAGAGATCTCAAAATATCTTCCTGGCAAAGACTTCCCTTTGAGCTGCATTGGGAAGTCTGAGATTTGACATTGCTTTTGGAAGATGGGGAGTTCTGCTTTATTATTATTATTATTTTATTATTTATATAGCGCCAACAGATTCCGTAGCACTGTACAAAGGGTGGACTAAAAGACATTTAATTGTAACCAGACAACTCAACGTACAGGAACAGAGAGGTGGAGGGCCCTGCTCAATGAGATTACATGCGAGAGGGAGTGGGGTATAGTGACACAGAGGGTAAAAGTAGGGGTATGAAGTAAGTTGTTAGAAAAATATACGCTGAGGGCTTAGTAGGTAATTTTTGACAGTTGCAGGAGAGGAGTCATGGAAGGTGGAGGATAAAAACCTGCTAACAGTTTAATTGATACGCTTTCTTGAAGACGTGAGTTTTCAATGATTTTTTTTGAATGAGTGGAGACTGGGTGAAATTCTTATGGAGGAGGGAAGGGAGGTGGGAGTACGGACAGAGGATATACCTAGGTCTTTTGCAGAGCGTAGGGGCTTCGACGGGACATACTTGTGTATTAGAGAGGATAGGTAGGTTGCAGCAGTATTATGTAAGCAAGCACCAGAATTTTAAATTGAGCCCTATATCTAACTGGGAGCCAATGCAGGGACTGACAGAGCAAGGAGGCGTGGGAGGTGCAAGCAGACAGGAAAATGAGCCTCGCCGCTGCATTCATTATAGATTGCAACGGTGCAATCTGGGAACACGTAAGACCACTGAGAAGAGTATTGCAGTAGTCCAGGCAAGAGAGAACAAGAGCATGGACCAGCCAGGGTTAGATGAGGCGGATGCGCGCTATGTTTTTGAGATAGAAGCAACAGGATTTGGCGATTGATTGGATGTGAGGGGTGAAGGAGAGGTTGGAGTCAAAAAGAACACCCAGGCAGCGAGCCTGCGAGGTAGAGGTGATGGTAGCGCTGTTGACTTGGAGGGACACAGACACGGGAGTAACAACACTTGAGGGAGGAAAGACCAGAAGTTCTGTTTTGGATATACCTAGGTCTTTGGCAGAGCGTAGGGGCCTCGATGGGACATACTTGTGTATTAGGGAGGATAGGTAGGTTGCAGCTATCAGAGATCTGTTGAGTTGAGTTGTAGAGTGAGATAGCCGAGTTAGGGCAAGTTAGATTTGAGATGGGTAAAAGGAGAGTATTGAGTTTTGTGGAGAAATTTGTTGAGGGTGGTGAAATTTGGGTACGGGGTATGCTGATGTCAAATGTTAGTAGATGGTGGTCAGACAAAGGAAATGGAACAGTGGAGAGATTAGAGGTGGTACAGAGATTGGTAAAGATGAGGTCAAGAGTGTTTCCTGCCGGATGAATTGCTGAAGTAGACAACTGCGTGAGGGCAAAGGAGGAGGTTACAGAGAGCAGACAGGAGGCCTCAGGGCCGTTGAGGTTGTTGATTGGGATATTAAAGTCCCCAAGTATGAGGGAGGGAGTGCTAGAGAAGAGAAAGTGGGGTAGGCATGAAGAAAAGTGTTCGATGAATAGCCTATGATGATCGAGGGGGACAATAGATGATGGCAATTCTTAAAGGAATGGGCTTAAGAAGGTGGACAGTGTGAACTTCAAAGGAAGTAAAGGAAAGGGCAGGGGCAGGGAGGATAGGTTGAAAGATACATTGAGGGGATAGAAGGATGCCTACACTGCCTCCTTTACAGTTGAGTCTGGGAGTGTGGGAGAATTGTAGTCCACCGAAACATAAAGAAGTGGGAGTAGCGGTATCAGAGGGGGACAGCCTGGTCTCGGTGAGTGCCAATATTGTGAGTGAGTTAGAGATGACAAGGTCATGTATAGCTGTTGATTTAACATTACTACAGATTGAACAGGCGTTCCAGAGTGCACACTGAATGTTGGTAAATGAGGATAAACTGCAGGGTATGTGGATAAGGTTTGTGTGCTTTACAAGCTGTTCTTAAATATAGCCCCAATGATAAAATGCATAATTAAAACGCATTCATGTTTCCTTTTCAAATAGTTTTTATTGAAAGTTTTGCAAATTTTACAACAAATTATAAAAATAAAGGAGGGGAAACTTGGAAGGAGGAAAGGGTAGCTCCATCCAATGTTACAATTGATAAAATAATGTACAAGGCATGTAAACTACAAATACTGTACAGTTAGAAAGCAAGTCTTACAAATGATAAACTCATTTAATTTCAACTTCCCATAAATCCCAATGGTATTTTAGTGTAGCAAAGATGTGTGAGTTGTTTATGTGTGACAGTTTGTGTGACTTATTGTCTATGACCAGCTTTAGCACTTCTTTAATCGAAGGAGTATGTTTAGTTTTCCAGTACCTAGGTAAGCACGAAGATGCAGCTATCAGGATGTGGCCTATTATTATTTTATTAAAGGGACACTATAGTCACCTGAACAACTTTAGCTTAATGAAGCAGTTTTGGTGTATAGAACATGCCCCTGCAGCCTCACTGCTCAATCCTCTGCCATTTAGGAGTTAAATCCCTTTGTTTATGAACCCTAGTCACACCTCCCTGCATGTGACTTGCACAGCCTTCCATAAACACTTCCTGTAAAGAGAGCCCTATTTAGGCTTTCTTTATTGCAAGTTCTGTTTAATTAAGATTTTCTTATCCCCTGCTATGTTAATAGCTTGCTAGACCCTGCAAGAGCCTCCTGTATGTGATTAAAGTTCAATTTAGAGCTTGAAATACAATTATTTAAGGTAAGTTACATCTGTTTGAAAGTGAAACCAGTTTTTTTTTCATGCAGGCTCTGTCAATCATAGCCAGGGGAGGTGTGGCTAGGGCTGCATAAACAGAAACAAAGTGATTTAACTCCTAAATGACAGTGAATTGAGCAGTGAAATTGCAGGGGAATGATCTATACACTAAAACTGCTTTATTTAGCTAAAGTAATTTGGGTGACTATAGTGTTCCTTTAATTCTGTTGACAGACTCAGGGAATTTTTTTAAATAAAGCTAATTCTGATGTTAAAATGTCAATGCTGCTGTCTACTTTGGCGATCAAGTCATATATCATTCTCCAATATGTGGATATTTTTGGGCAATACCACCATATGTGGGCCATGTTGCCCAATCCGCCACAGTCTCTCCAGCACTGGTCGATGTATTTATTATTCATATTATGTAGCCTGGACGGAGCTAAGTACCAACGATATAAAAATTTTAAATGATTTTCAAAATGGTTGGAACAAAAAGAAATTCCCTTCTGCGCTCTTAAAAACAGTGAAACCCCATAGCGATCGCGTGGCTCTCTCCGGAAGGCCCGGAATTCTCCGGAGTGATATCTAGGATTAGAGAATGTAGAATAATGGATGACTTAACTGCTAGAGTGCGGGGGACAATGGCGTCGTTTCAAAAGATTTGGGAGCCATGGGACAGTAGTCTACTGGGCTTGGGCAGTGCTTGACGGCACCTTGTCCTGTTGTAGAGGGTAGGGCCCCACGTAGAATGGGATCATGCTATGGCTGCCATGCTAGTCGCACTCTACAACACCTAACTTTAGATAGCGGACTCCTTGGGCATATGTCAGGGATGGGCATGTGAAGTCCATATAACTACACACGATAAGGCCAGGCACTATGACTGTACTGATTCGTTATTTTCATTAATTCCCTGATATTTTCTGGGCATCTCTCACAGTTAATGAGCCTCTTTTTATATTAATAAGCAATGTAAGTAGCAAGACTGCCATTACTTATCAAAACGGAATTCGAAATTGAATGTGTATAGAGTTTTGCGTATCGTCCACCCCACTGTTTACTAACATAATTGTTTTTTCTGTCTTATTTTTTATTCTTTAACCTTAACAAAGTGCTGTATTAACCTGAGACATTGTCAAATGCTGTAAGATGCACACAGACGCTGATGTGGCTCTGTGTAATTGTTGTTGATACATGCACGACAAAAATAAAGAATTTAAAAAAACAAAAAACAAACAGCAAAACCATTCTGATAATTCGTATTGGGTACCCAGCTCCACTTCCCAGGACAGCATGTGTTTGAGTTTAACAGTAGGTTTGGCGTTGTGCATTAAATAACATAATGATATCATGCCTTTCCTATTTGGGTCATGTAAAAATAATTTTTCCAGTGGTGAAATTTCCAATATTTTGTAATTTTTGTCGGTGTCTGTTACTTTGTATAATTCTTTCAATTTATCAATAACCATCATACATTCATACTTCCATTCATCCATCAATTCATGCTTGAATTGTAGTTTTTCAAATGATAAAATAGCATTACCGTGAAAAAA